CGGCTCTCGGGCCTCTCGGAGAATTGTTAGCAGGTATAGAATTTGTTGACTGCGCGTACGCGAATGTGTTGTTGTATTTTAATTTTAGTGAATTCTGTTTTACCTACTACGACGGCGTTATTTTCGGACACTGCTGTGGCTTGCGAAAGGTTTAGTGTTGTGAACAACAGAAATTATTGACTCACGTTTCCCACGCAAACTGTCAATGAGAGATAGACTCGATGATTGACTGTATTACATGATAATAATTAAATTTTTTCTAAATTTTCACTCACTTCTGACAGTTTAACAGAAACAGAAACTTTTTTATTCAATGTAGATTATAACAAATACTTATTGAAAGTCACTTTAAATTTTTAAAAACTTTTTTAAAAACTGTTTGTGTTCGGAAAAAGGAATCTTCTCGACAACTGGGTTGTCGAGAAGATTCCGTTCCGTTCCGTTCGATCAACCGCCTGTACTACGGTACAAATTAGTACCTATACAAACACACATTTGTAGTCATTTACATACGGTACGTACATGTTAAATAATTAGGTACGTTACCGCATCCTCTAATATAATACTAATACAGACAAACTGGATAGATAAAGAATTTATTTCGCTCCTACTACTTAGTTCTAAGCAGAATAAATCATTTACCTTTACTTTTTCGTGCTGTATTTACGTATATGATGGACGAACAAAAAAGTCGAACGGAACTCCCTGCTAAAACAAAACTGAGTCTGGTCTATGTATTGTATATCTATCTACTGTCTACTGTATTGACGTTTGCGCGAGTAATGGTAATGGCTGACTAATGTGTGAATGTGTCCGGGCTTGTACGCACGACGACCATTTAAAAAAACAGTTTATACGGATCTCTCATTGTACGGGAAATTGATACAAAGCAAGACCATTGTATACTGAAAATTTCTAACTTTATGTGTTAACAGTTTTTTACTAGCGAAAATCTGTCTGACTTTCTTTGTTCGTCCATGAGGTACTTATATATGAAATAAGAAAAAGCTAATGTACGTTATAAATAATTTCCATATCGTCAAAAATAACGCACGCACGGTACATAGATTGGTAAAAATACTACACAAATAAATCTCCGAGGCCAAGCGTTACGTCCGTACTAGACAAAGCATGTAATATAATAAAGTATTACGGTACTAAATGTAAAACTATGGCTATGCGCACGCGAGGACATATTTGTGAGACGCGCGCGTGCGATTCAATACTATTGTCATGAATGGCTCACTAGCGGATAGCGGCCTACCGCCCGCGAGTGAGCAGCAAAAGTTACCGAATGTTAACCGAGCGCTCAGGCGCTATCTTTCTCTTTTCGCTTTGCCTCTTTTTCTAACATTGCGCTGGATGAAACAACAAGCTTTTCAACTATACTCGCGTTGACGATAGACGGGCCGGGAAGGGCCATCTTAAGAATGAGTTTTAAATGACATTTAAAATTTGCTTTGTTTTGATTGGTTCAACAATATTTCAATCTTTGTAAACCATCGCCATTAATGTCATTTGAACTTCATTTGTCTTTTACTCAACAATTTTTTTCGAAAAGTAAGTTTTGAGCTTAAAAAATGTCTTCAAGTGAAACAGAGTGATGGTGAGCCGAAAAAGAAGGGAACATGTAATCCCACGAAATATAAAAGGTATGTTATAAAAATTCTAAAGTTAAAGGACAGGCATATACTAATTATCAAGGAAAACAAATAGCTCCAAGATCTACTGGTGAAATTTGTAGGCAAGTTTACCATAAACCTTTATTCAGTTTACTTTTTTATCGGGGCCTATATAAACCTAATATATCGCTTATTTATTGCAGATGTAAGAAGGAATGTTTTGCGAATTTCGACCAAGATGACATGGACCTTTGCATTTCAAAAATTAACTTTTTTTTTTAACAAAAAAATGAGCAGGATATATTTATTTAAACACTTATTGATAAGTTAGATATAAAACAGAGACGTCCTCGAAAAGAAAATGCTACACAGAGGCAAAATGCTTTTCAATTCTATGTTTTAAAACAAACTGATAAAGTTAAAGTCTGCAAGAAAGTCTTTATCAGTGTATATGGAGTTACTGAAGCCAGAGTTCGCAGACTTTGTGATTTGCTTAATGAAGGGAAGAGTCCTATAGATAAGAGAGGGTGTCACCCGAAAGCAAATATAGTGCCTCCTGAAATATGCCAAAAAATACACGGACACATCTTCTGCTTTCCTAGGAAAAATACACAGTATGCAGGAAAAGACATTGATTATCTTGATGCATGATTGGATGTCAAAACAATGCATTAAATGTTTAATGAAAAATATCCAGATCTCGATGTAAAGTACAAATTTTACTTACAATACTTTAATGAAAACTTTTCCCTCAGATTTGGTCGACCACAACTCGACACATGTATAACTTGCGAAGAACTATCAACAAAAATAAAACAATCAAACTTATCAGAAAATGCAAAACGTTCAGTAGAAGCTCAGTTAATAATCCATAAAAGACGTACCAAGAAGTTTTACTACAAAATTTCATCAGTTCAATATCTTTATAAGGAACGAGATGATGTTGCAGCGATAACATTCGATTTTATGCAAAATCTACCATTGCCTCACATACCTATACAAAACATTTTTTATTTACGACAATTATGGGTTCACTGTTTTGGTATTAAGGATTTAAAAACAGGCAAATCGACATTTTACATGTATCACGAAGGAATTGCTAACAAAGGAGCCAATGAGGTTTGTTCAATGTTGATTAATAAAATTAAATTACAAAATATTATATAAAAAATAATATTTTGCCAAATATTAAGTATTTATATCTTTTTTCCGACGGCTGCCCCGGTCAAAATAGAAATAACACATTGTTGAGATTTATGTTGGCTTTGACTGACTAAAAGATTTGAAAACGTTTATTAGTATTTTCCCATACGTGGTCATTCCTTTTTACCAAATGACCGTGATTTTGGAGTCATAAAAAAAATGTTCGAAAGCATGATCGTATCAACGTCCCAGGAGAATACATTGATTTGGTTTCGAACTCCAGCTCAACATTTACAGTCATAGAGCTAAAAATTGAAGATGTTTTGGAATTAAAGAAATGGTGGCCAAATTAGTACAAAAAAAAAAACATGCGTGTCAACTGAATTTTATGGAAAAAAGTCCCAAAGGACCAGAAAAAGTCATTTGCACCTTCGATATACACGAGTTTTCAGTATGATTCAGATCGAAAAGAAACTATCACAGCCGAGGAATATATTGATGGATTGATTAAACATTCATTCTCATTAATAAAGAAAATAACAACTTCTGTTTCACTTCCATCAACCAAAGCCTATGATTTGAAAGTGCCTATCAATAAAAAAAAAATAGACGATTTAAAACAAGTTCAAGATAGCATTCTGGAAGAGCATATGCCATTTTATAACAATATTTTTAGCTGGCCAACTGCAAATGTTGGAGATAATCCAGATGAGAATGATGGAGAATATGACTATGTACCATAAAGATATTAAAACATGACAAATTAATACATGTAAAATGTTAATAAGATTATTTTTAAGTGTAATTCTTAATTACAAGCAATAAAAAATATGATTACTACGATTGTTTTGGTTAAATTATATACCATTGACTATTTCTCGCTAAAACAACATAAGTCAAGAATTGTTTTTCAGGTTTTTTTCATTATTTCTATTAATAAAATGTAAAGGTTATACGCTTTTATAATTTTTTACCACTCAAATACTAAATTAAACATAAAAAAGTCCTTTAAAACTCATTTGTTTGAGTATGAAACAGTTTTTATTGATTTCTGAAAAATTATAATTTTGTGACATGAGGTTTTTGAAATGACCGATTCAATTGTTATTCATATTTTAATGAAAAGGGCTTAAAATATTATAAAAAACTTATGTCAACTTATATCACTAACAGTACAAGAAAATGTATAATATTCATAAGTTTTTAATATGCAAGAAAATTTATGTTTCCATTGTTAACCCTAGTTTTTTCTTATCTAAAACACAAATTAATTTTTGGTCATAATACAGTCAAAATTTAGGTGCCATAATATTTAGTCAATATCCTTCAGTTGTATCTGGAAAAAGGGCCATGTATCTTATAAACACGTATACAAAGATGGTAATTAAACAGTATAAATTCTAAGACCCTAAGACTGGCACAACACTATCACAGAATTGGCTAAGTTTATCGTAAAGTTTCAGTCACAAAAAATGTCATTTTTGTTTTAATTATACAATTAATAATAAATGTACATTTGATTCATGAAACTGATGGCAAAGTCATTAAAAGTATAAAATAAATGCAAAGTAAAACCTTGTTTACATACAGGCTTTGTAAAACTACTTTTTAGCAAGTTAAGAAATTAATAAGACATGGAATAATATAAATAAGTGTAACAATATATAAAACCAAAGAAAATATGTAGATATGACAACAGTAAGGAAAATTGCATTGAAATGGCATATTTTATATATTTAAGAAATCACTTTTTAATTTGACAATGATCAAAAGGGTACTTGAAATTAAATAGAAAAATTAAGAAACATAAAAATACAACACCAGATATTCAAATTAAATATATACAAGTCTTTATATAAACATTCTTTAACGTCAATATTTAAATTATTTCTTTCATGAATGTAATGGAATAAGAAATAATAAGATATGAAAAAAATATTTCTTCTAGTCTTATAAAATTTTTAAAAATAATTTTTAATAATACTTTGAGAGGGATTTAATACACTTAAATGGTATCCGACTCTATAAGCTTGTACAATTATTTGTTTTTGTCAATATTAAGAAGCACCATACAATTTGTTTATCTCCATCAATTCTTATAATAATTGTCATAAATTACCTATAAATGCGAAGAGGGTGATTATGAAAGCACCAAAATGTTTAAATACACACTGATTAGGACACTGGAACGCTGTTAACACAATCATTTGGGTGGGTTTGCGACACAGTTTATATTCACATGGGCACATCGGCCACATACTCGATCCTGAGCAGGAGGTCGATGAGGTCCTGCGCGCGCAGCCAGCTCCAGGGCACGGGCTCGCGGGCGCAGCGCGCACCGCGCCACCGCGCCACGCCGCTCAGCACGCACACGGCGCACACGAAGCACACCACCGCAAACACTTGGAACAGGCACTTCAGCCAATCCCTGTAATCACATACTGCAACATTTGAGACACATCGTTAATCCCTAATTGGCAAACAATTATGAATAATTCCTACTCATTATACAAATTCATCTGTTATAAGATATTAGTACATCTTCAGCCATGGCAGTCAGTGGCGAAGCTCGGACTGCAAACTAGGGCAAACTCAAGATATAGTTTTGTTGTTTTTAGCAGTTTTATAAAAATACACCAATCTTGATCTGTCTCCACTCTTCAGTTTCATATTCAGTGCTGTCGAGGACGTGTTTAACAAAGCACACAGGAGGCATACTACTGTTAGATAAATTGTATGACATATCAGCAATTGCATACCTTCGAAAGCTTTGAAAAAAGCCGTTTGGGTTTGCTTGAGCGAAAGAAAAAGATATTTAGATACAATACTATACATGAACAAAGTACAAACTATGTAAAAAATAAAAAACAAATTATTAAGAATAATATTATAAAGAAAGATCTGATTACGTCCGCGTTAAATGTTGGTGAACGTTTTCATTATATCAAAAATTGTTTTTCAATTGCGATAATTGAGAAATCTGAAAGAATCTTGACCTGGTGTATTTTCTCAATAAAGTTTAAAGATTTTACCTTTTCCTCGCCGATTAGCACTTTAACACGCTTCAATTCATCACAAGGAACACTATTATGCTCTCGACTATTATTATCCTCAATATTGTCTTCTCGAAAGTCCCGTAAAAAGCCCACGCGTGCGAGAGAGATGTCTAATCACTGAACTTAACTCCTTGCTTTCATTAATTTTGACAGTCCATTGCGTGTTCGCTTTGAGACAGAGAGAAAACGAATCAGTGTATTTCGAATTGAAAGCAAACTGCCGTGTTGACGTTACATAATAAGGCTACGAGGTCATGACCTGTGTAGAAAAGAGGAGCACGCGGGAAATTGGAAATATTTTGAAACAGTTTACGAGTTATTTTATTAGTTGATATTGATTGAGCAGTTTGAAAGGGCAAGCCCGGCTTTTCGGCTTGTATGGAGGCTTCACCACTGGTAGCAGTTCAAGGGCTAAGCACTCACAGTAAATCGAAACATGCACCAAGATTTTATATGTGGTGAAGCCATGCTGAAGCTCTATTAAAGTTATAGAACAAATGGGTCAGATCGACCAGGGAGGTTAATACTCTCACAGTATACAAACGTAAGATAGCAGCTTAATGCTACTGTGTTTTATATGTATGTAGTGTAGAAAAACAGAGGCCCTTTTTACGGGAAATGAGGCGCATACCATCTTAGTTCTTATGGATGACAACACATCTGCATTTTATCTTAGTCTTCAGCCAATTAGGCTTTAGGCCATTCTAGATTAGTCTTCAGGGGTAAAAATGCATCATAGATAGATGTGATGATTATGAGCACACACCACAGCAACCACATACCATCAGATGGACTGTGTGCTTATTTATCACCTTTTAAAAATTTGCTCAGTTCACAATCTAAGGGCCCCGTTCGTGACATTAGAAATAAAAATTATCAGTCAAATAAATTGTTCCTTTCCTCCCTATCCATGAACTATGTATAATTCATTCGCATGTTCTTCATAAGATCACTGTGTTTAAACTATTTTCAAAATCCAAATTTTTTTCAACCATAGTAGACATGCATAACCACAGAAATCGTAATAATAAGACAATAGAAGTGGCATAGACGCGTGACCTTGTCACCGCTATGATGTCTTGACAAACATCATTCACCATTTTGATTTTGTTGCGCGGGGAATGTCATACTTTGAATTTATGTTATTATCAATTTATAATGGTGAACTGCAGCATAATCAGTAGTAAAAACTCATCAAGGACGTGTAATTCAACTAATAGACATAACATTTCATAGGTAAGATGATTGTTTACTAATTATCATTGTTTTAACTAATTTACATCTAGATGAATACTTTACTATGATATTTATTTCATTTACTTTTCGTATTGTACAATTACCATTGCTGCTTTTGTTCTACCGTAATACGCGACGTTGACAAACTCGCCAAGCAATGTAATGTAAAACATTAGATATCATTTTGCATTGCATATGTTTATAATACGTCTGCAGACATCGGTCGCTTAACGCGATGTGTTAACATGTAGCGACATCGGTTTTGGAAGTAATCGAGCGCTAATTTATTTCTATTATCTTATTATTACTGTTTCTGTGTACTATTTAAAGAACACAAGCAACCCAGTGCTGATTTACTAGTAACTTAGTTACAAAGCCTATATGAGGCTATCAGCGCAAAAGCGGTGTAACCCTCGACAGTGCACATAGGAGAAATGGAAGGATTTAAATTTTTTTTAAATGTTTTTTAATGTTTTATTTTTTATTTATAAAAAGAACTTCCAAATCGACAATAGTTGTTTACTTTTATAAAATTTAAACTAATAATAAAGAAAAATATGTGGGTTACTCCACTTCTGCATTTATGTTATTTGGGTCAAAATCAAAATAATAGACAGGTTACACCATTTCAGAGCACGTTTATTAAAGAAAATAAAATAATGGGTTAATTCTTCATCTGTTTCATCATAAAAAGCTTCATCTATTTTTGTAATCTGTAAAAATGCTATCTATTTTTGGATAGCAAAAGGTGGCTTACTCCACTATTGTATTTAAAGTTGATAATGTACGGAATGTAGTTTACACCAAAACCGCAACCAGCAAAAATTGTGGCTTACACCACTTTTGCGCTGATAGCCTCATATATGGTAAATTATTAGCATAGCATTTGATTGAAATATAAATCATTCTTTTACTCACCAAAAATATCTCTTAAGACTCCGATGCTGTACTTCAGCTTTACGTTTATCACATTCAAAGCACGGGAGCTCCGCTTGAGTAGACACTGATGCATATTCTGAAAGAAAAAAAGGTGTGAGAGCCATACATACTGCAGGTAGGCCTCTCTTCCCATGGCTGACTGACTTACTAGTCATCAAATGTCTGACATATATCTGATTAATTAGAAGAACCGTTTCTCTCATGATATTTATTTACCTTCATCACTCAACACATGGTAAAACAGTATCAGATTAAAAATATCAGCTTCGGTGAACACCAATTTCGAGGTTTTAGCATGTTTCTTTTTGCAAAATAGTGTCAATGATATTGTATACTATGTCTAACTACTTAAAGTCGGATTTTAGATGCTAATTGCGAACGAACCAATGCTTCGTGAATGATGTTCCTTATCACCTGTGTTTCAAATATATAACCTTACAGTTAATGTAATGGATTTCTACAAATTAAATGTTAGTTCCGTTGCAACTGTGAATAATACAAAATTACTACAATGCTTTTAATATTGAATACTAATACTTCAATTTAACTACCACACACAACAATAATCAAAACTTGGTTTTACAATACAATGTGTTGCGTTAAGTATGACATTAAATGAGTACACAACGCACTTTTCGTGACATTTTATTGGCAACACTATTGAAGCACAACCTGCTATCCAATTAGTAATGATTTAAGATTATTCGATTCAAAATTCGTCCATACTTGAATTAAGTACCAATTAAAATCCAATTTATAAAATCGTTGTAGACTATTGGGATGGATATTCAATTATAGCCTTTGGAAGAACTCATCTTGAACTTATAAGAAATTTGAAATAATGGTCTTTTATGCTTATTATAAACCAGTTCATTACTACAACCCCACCTGGTGGTAAGTGGTAGTGAAGATTTAAATGGTAGATCGCACTGTCTTAGCAAAGTATTCATTAATTTTTTGAGTCTTGCCTTGAAGACACCTAGATTGTGTGTCACATAAAGTTCAGTTATACCATATCTAAGCACAACAATGTGACTTTGCAATGGATCAAGAGACACAGTGGATCTAGAGGCAACGATGCAGCAGATGAACTGGCCAGAAGAGAATCAGCTCTGGCAACTACAGGGCCGGAACCAATAATACCGATCCCCTTTGGCTATGTTCGTTCACTAGTACGTAGATACTTCAATAATTTACACACTCAGCTTTGGAAAAATTTTGTAGACTGTAGATAAGCTAGGTAGGGCCTGCCTGAAATAAACAGTCGTCTAACCAAGGTTCTAATGAGACTGAACAAGCCACAGATCAGGATAGTAACAAGTGCTATCACAGGACATGGCTCTTTTAACAAACATTTGTTTACCATAGGTGTTACTGATAGCCCCCTGTGCAGGGCATGCATGGGAGAGGAAGAAACGGCGGCTCACGTGTTGCTGACATGTCCAGAAGTCGCTTCATACAGGGCTAAACATCTCGGCACGCCGAGATCGCTCCCCGAAGTTGCTTGCAACATCAAAGGACTGTTGAACTTCTTCGGGGAAATATCATGGCTCGAATAACCACATATTACTGCCCACACGCAAAATACGTGGAGTTGCGGAAAACAGGCCGTCGTAAACTAACTAACTAACATATCTAGTAATGCATTAACGTGTTGGGTTTAGCAGTGTCGTTGAGCAGACGACTCGACTAAATTGTTATCACGTTTTATTGACAATCCACTAGTAACTACACACAGTAAGTACCTAAGCTCCTATATTAAAAATTTTGAAGTGAAAATTTCTTTAGCGGCGTAGTAAACTTTTTTTGTAATGGGTAAAAAATGTTAACCCTCTGTAACGTATGGTAGACTACAGGCAACATACCGTTTCACCTTTCCTAAATTCTCCAAGTAAAATTAATTCGTTTTTTCAAGCAATGTAGAGTATTGTCTACACTCTCTTCTTTCAATTTAGTACAAGCATGTCAAACTAGATGTCGCTACTTGCCTCAAACAACGAAATATCGTTAGTGAAGTGAAAAGTTTCAAATGCTCAGAGTATGTTAAAAGACAAAAAATATAAGAAAATAGTTATTTTGTTTTTTGGTGTTTCTTTTCTTGATAATCTGTAAGGTAAGTGTTTATAGTTTACCATATTATTATATTTTTGCTGATAATTTACAGTTTTTATGTATTAGGTGACTATTAGTGTTTGTGTCTTGTAGGCTACATTGTGCGGAAAGGGGAACTATCTTGTACGAACACTGTGGATATTTACACTCGTTATTATTTTGTTTTAGCATGGCTCACCAAATTCACCTAAATGAAAACGAAATCGCCTGCGCACTTCAATGTGATTTAAGTGAAGATGGACTCGACTTAGATGACGATAGTTTGATGGATCCTGACTTTGAACCAGATTTTGAAGAGTCGATTGACGAATCTTTGGAAGCTGAATTCGACATAGATGCACTAGTAGACACCTTGAATGATGACGACCGTAACTCCAACTTTGAGGTAGAAGTAGGGCCGGCCTTATCTAGTTCAGACATTCCAGGTACTTCAGATCCCCCTGTAAAACGTCGAAAGCCTGAAAAGCTAACATTACGGTGGAAAAAGAAGAATTTAGAGCTGAATGCACAGCAGCTGGCTTTTACTGGCAATGAGTCATTGAGTTCTGATATCTTGGACCTTGATACTCCAATACAGTTCCTTCTTTTTTTATTTCCACCAGAACTCATAAAGAGAATTTCGGAAGAGACAAACCTCTACGTGGTACAAAAAGACCCAAACAGCACGTTTCGTGTATCGGAGACAGAAATGCGTCAATTTATAGGGGTAGTATATATGATGTCACTGATTCAGCTACCCAGAGTGACCAACCACTGGAGTTCCGTCTTGGGTACACCTGTAATTCAACAGACCATGCCTTCTAATAAATTTGAAAAGATTAGACAATATCTGCATTTTAATGATAACACTAAATGTCTACATAGGACCCACCCTGACTCCGATAGGATCTTCAAAATTCGCCCAGTCGTTGATGCCTTGAACGAATCTTATGGTAAAGTTCCATTAGAAAAACAACTTTGTGTAGATGAGCAAATTTGCTCTACAAAAGCGCGTAACATGCTGAAAAGGTATAATCCCAAGAAACCGCATAAGTGGGGTTATAAATTATATGTTTTGAGTGGTGTTTCCGGTTTTGCTTATACAATAGAGATTGAATCTGGCAAAGAGAATGTTGTCAGACCCGACGAGCCAGATTTAGGAGCTTCTTCCAATGTAGTAGTGAGATTATCGCGTATGATTCCGCGACACCAAAATTACAGGCTCTATTTCGATAACTACTTCACATCCTTGCATCTTTTGGAATATTTAGCAAAAGAAGGTATTCTTGGGCTAGGTACTATTAGAAGGAATAGAATACCTGACTGCAAGCTGTCGTCAGAAAAAGAGATTATGAAGAAAGATCGAGGATATTCTGAAGAGTACATAGCTGATGTCAACGGCGTCGACGTGTCAACGGTTGTATGGAAGGACAATAAGCTTGTTACATTGGCTTCCACATTTGCTGGTCTAAATCCTATAAGCGAAGTCCGGAGATACGACAAAAAGAACTCAAGATACATAAACATCCCGCGACCTAATGTTGTGAGCGAGTATAACCGTCATATGGGCGGTGTGGACCTTGTAGATAGCATTATGGGCATCTACAAGATAAAACTGAGAAGCAAACGTTGGCAGATGCGTCTCTTCTATCACTTCTTAGACCTAACAATGGCTAATGCATGGCTGTTCTATAAAAGAGTCTGCAAGTATAAAAACATTCCCAACAAGACCATCATGGCATCTGCAGATTTTCGCCTGGAAATTGCCGAAACATTGTGCAAGATGGGGGTGAAAACGGGTTTAACAATACGCCGATCTATTGAAGGTCAAATCCTAGCAAAGAAACACAAAGGACCTGCCCAACATGTACCTCCACAAGCAGTCCGCCAAGATCAAGTCGGTCACTGGCCTCAATGGGCAGAAAAAAAAATCCGTTGTAAGTTCCCTAAGTGTGCTGGATTTACTCATACGGTGTGTGATAAATGCGGCGTAGCTTTATGTTATACCAAAAACAAAAATTGTTTCAGGAATTTCCATCTGTTGTAACTGATTTACATTCTTCTCAATTAAAGTGATATTAACTAATTTTTACTGTTGTAACTCATTGTTGCCTAGGAGCTACACTCCCTTTTTTTGTAGTATTATGCTTGATTTATAAAAAATTACATAATTTTAAAAAATACGTATTTTATTAATTTCATAATCCTATCCGATTCCATGAAAAATATGTAATTTAAAGATTTTGAGTTATAGAGGGTTAAACTCGTGTCAGGACACGTGACCTGATCGAAAATTCGTAAGACGAAAACTTCTTTAGCGGCGTTGTACACTTTTTTTTTTGTAATGGGTAAAAAATGTTAAACAAGCGTCAGGACATGTGACCTGATCGAAAACTCGTAAGACGGATGGAGAGTAAACAGCCAGCGCGGCGTAGAAGATAAAATTTTTAATGTAATATAAATTGTCATGTTTGTGTACAATAGCGCAATAAATAAATATTGTATTCTACCACATAAATATACTTTTATACTGATAATTAAAGCAATTCGTGCAATATTATTCCCTAACCATTCCAAAATATCAAAAATATACAACGTTAATATTCAAGTTTTCACTTCTGCCTGCGACCCGGAGTGCAAGTCGTCGTTTTTAATTTTCAATATGTCCGATATAAACACACAAATTGAGATGGTGGTTAATAATTTATAAAAATATCCTTACTAGGAACATGAACTTAGGAAGTTGGCGGTATTTCATTAGCCGTTGGTACTGCACCTGATCTCTCTCCGATCATGTCGAATTGCCGTTCCATCGGACTATGAGAGTGAGGGAATAGAGTGCACCTGTGCTTGCGCATACACTTGGGCATTATACTCCTGTCCTGCGTAGATGGATAATCTCCGTTGAGACTGGCTCTCGCAACCGAAATTGGGTCTGGAAGACAATATCTATAACACCCGAAGTTACATTATTGCAAAAACGCAATAATGTAACTTCGGGTGTATAGTAAGTTTTATATGTGGTAGAGCCATGCTGCAGTTATATTAGAAATATAGTTATAGCACGAATGGGTTGGCTCGACCGGGGAAGGACCACATTCTCACAGAATACCAGCGTGAAACAGTAGCTTAATGCTGCTGTGTTTCGTATGGTGAGTGTAGAGAACCGGAGACCCTTTTTACTGGAAACGAGGCATTCCATCTTAGTCCTCACGGGTGACAACGCATCTGCATTTTGATTCGTAATCGAGGATAGATGTAGATGTCTATGGGCCACAGCAACCACTTGCCATCAGGTGGACTGTGTGCTCGTTTGTCACCCTATCCTATAAAAAAAATCAACATGTTCAACATTCAAACACTCCTTTCATGCTTAATTTCATTTATATATCTACTGTTTTGTTTAAGATTTTTGCTATTGGCACAATATTGTTAGCTTTATAAATATTCACAAATTGTATAAGTATCTGAAAATGCGAAACTGATTATATGTTTTCATTTAATGTTCTACATAAAGCAACACATTGTGTTTTAGACAATACATATAAACTACTTCATATAATATATGATATACTAAAGATAAATAATAAATATATGCATTTCGAGTCAAAATATTATATAAAACCATATATAAACATATATAAAACCACATATATTAAACTATATCTTACTACACTATATAACTTTCCTCAATATTAAAAAATTACTCAACATTTACTATTTGATATAACATATCAAAGATTACCACTTTCCGTTTGTACTTGAGCAGAACATGTCTCACAGCAAATTGTGTCGAATTTCCCACTTCGATCTGAATATTTGGAATATATTAATTCAAAATTCAATTTCAAATTATCTATCAATGCCTTTAACTTTCTGTTTCCATCACTTTCTTCATCCACTATATTTTGAAGAATTACCACATTTTCCTCATACCTATCAATCTCAGATTGCATCTCTGCGATAGTGAAATTTGAATGTTGGATGTCACTTTCTAATTTGGTTGCATTTTCCCTTAATTTTACGCATTCTAAACATTTACTACAGTCCGTACAAGTGTCAACATTATTGTTATCAACATAAGACAAAGTTTCTGCTTGTACTGAATCTGTTTGTGTTGCGATATCTAATGCACTTGGTACAATTTTCATCTTTCCTGTTTCAGAACACATACAAGGTTCATATTTGTCTACATCATCTGTTTGTGTTGATGCCATAACCAATAAAGTATCAACTTGTACACAGCTCTTATCGATATTTCTAGAACAGTTTAAGTCAGTTATGTTATGTCTGGAAATGTTACAGAAGCTCAGTCTTATTTCATCGAACAATGACATGTTGGTCGGCCGTCCTTGGTCCTCCTTGAGCGCATTCATGAACAACTCTTCGTCTAATATCTGGTTGTCTAATAAAGAATTTGGTAAAGTGTTTACATAGTAAAAAGCAAAAGCGAAAAATTATTGTTAATTGTGTTTTCATACAGCCTTACAACAGCTTATAAAAAGAGGTGTGCCAAGTGTGTGTGTGTACTAGTCAAACAACATTTTTTTATATATAGGAAATTAAGTCTTACATTGAGAACATAATAATTAGGCACATGTCTTTAAATATAACCGCTATGCAAAAATAATATGTATTCATCTATGCAAAAGTTAATACATAAATATAAAGCACGGTTAAAGCATTTAAGAGAAAGAATGTAAGTGATGAAATGATTAGGATTATACTTGGCTCAATGTAATAATAATAGTACTAAGGATGCATTATTACATCAACAGAAAAAAAAAACTGAATATCAACTTTTTCTCATAGAAGGGTGTCGAAAGAAGTCTATGTGTACCTACATTCTCTCTTTGCTGTCAGTCTAAACTCAGAGAACACATATTGTTCAACATAGAAGTATTATTACTATTATACTTTTTTTTCAACCCATTGTGAGCGTACTGTAGCCACAATAGAACTGCAGTGTAGTTCTACATAAGGAACAACCACTTTTTATAAATGTATAGATTGTTGCACAGAAAAATACAGGAAGTTAAAACAATTGTAAAACATGAGTGCCAAGATGATGAATATTTTTCTTAACAATTATTAACCATAGTAATAACTCTCAATTGCAGCCGAACATTGTCATTGACTTAGCACTTGTGTTGGATGAACTTTCCAAAATTGGGAATTGTGTAAAAATATTTTTTTGAAATTTTTTTTACAAAATTCCCAAGTTTTTAAGCTTTCGGAAAATCAACCGACACTATAATATAGTACATAATATTACAATGTGAAAAAAAATTATTTTGCAAAGTGTAAGCAGAAAGAAGAATTTGTAATCTAATTTAAACACTAATTTCAAATGTGTTATTTTAAGCAGTAAAAAATATTCCATAAATACCTTGAGCAAACTGGCTATCAGCATTAAGGCTGTCTAGTGCTGTGAGCATCTGTTCATCAGTGTAACTGACGTCTATTGAGCGATCCGGGCGCATATGCGTCTGGTTTGACTTGTTGAGCAAATCCTTCAACTCCATCTCTAATATGATCTGGAAATTATATCAGTTAAAATATTATCATTCATGTTTAGTACATTTTCAGAAACAGGGAGTAAGCCTGTGGAATATTATTAAAGATGTATGAATTGCATTTATCATAACATCTGGTAGGCTCAATACACACATGCAAGAATAGGTGGATTCTCTGGGCGCTGCACTGTTTTGTTTTAGTAGTAAAGAAAGATTCAAAATGAAATTGTTACAATTGATATCATTATTTGTTCCTGAGATATGAGACAAAACATTACTAAAACAAAGATAGTAGAATCGGATTCTAAGGAACTTCAAACAAGGAGCATATATTATTTTTTGATATGGAAAATAAGTCAATTCAAAATAACCTTTTCTTTAATGACTTGTTGCATAACTTCCTCTTGGTCTTGCAAGCGAGCAGATACATCAGCATGTTCAGTTCTCAGAGTCTCATTCTCTTCGAGAAGAACAGATTGTCTGCTTGCATACATCTCGTTGATGCGATGGCACTCATCCTTTGACTTTGACAGCAGCTCTTGAAGGGTTAATTTCTGTAATTTTATATTATAAAGTAGTTCTTTAATTATGGTATGACAAAATTGCTAACCCATTACAAACAAACTAATTGACACTTTTCCATCTGATTGTGTGATAATGTAGCCAAAGATAGTAAAGTGCACTAGCTAAATAAATAAACACCTGTTCACTGTGCCTAGAAAACACACATATGGTTATTATTTGGCGAGCTATTCCAGACTTTTATTGTACGTAGTTTGGTTCGAATGTGTGGTACCTCACCAACAAAGTGATGTAGACCCGCCATGCATGGCCGATCTGGTTATTTAATGGTGTATGGGAGCAAGAGGAATTATGTCACATAATTTTTTATCTTTTATATATTCATTATCTTAACTAGGAATATGGTTGATTAATAAAATCAATATAATTAAGAAAACATAGTTCCCATGCATGAGTTCAAGAAAGTTCCTCTAAAGAAACAGCTATGTTATATTGGCGCTCAAAGCACAATGTTATATATCAAACAAAATAATGTGTAACTGAATGGTTGATTGGTTAGCACATTGTTAAAAGATAATAACCAATCTAATTTATGCCAGACATGAAATATTCAGACTGGCGACGGACAGCAGCGCTAAGAACTATAAGCTTGCCAAGTGTGGCGATATTATAATAGCGAATATTTTCTTACAAAGGGTGAGGCCTGTTTCTAGCAGCCGGGCTATCATGGGCAAGAGACAATATATCCACAGCGAGAGAATAAATTTTTTTTATCCCTTGCTCAGCTTTATCCACCTTGTGAGCATGGGCAGGAGACAAAAATTATATCCCCCGATTATATCCACTGACAAGAGATAAAATTATCTTATCCCTACAGTATATTCATGTTTGACATAACGAGTAGACATATATCTCCCTGTCCGTAGCATGGGGCCGAAGGAAAGAGAAAAAATTATCATTAAAATTCTCCCTTTCAAATGTCAAAAAGGGATATATAATGAAAGTGGGCTTAAAGAAGTTGTTTGTGTTAGGGATCTGCGCCCCAGACATGTCTAAGCCCACTTATATCCGAGAGCAGTTTTGGGAAATGGTAAGGATGGTGTTAATGAAGTGTAAGGGAAATGAAAATATTATTATGCTAGGAGATTTTAATGGAAGGGTTGGGGTGAGGAGGCTTGGTTATGAAAGAATATTGGGAACGTTTGGTGATGAAAGTATAAATGAGAATGGTGAAAGTCTTCTCACCGTATGTATGGAAAAGAATCTTTTTGTGACGAACACTTGCTTTCGCCACAAGAGGATTCACATGTATACTTGGGAAAGAGGTGACGATAGAAGCATGATAGATTTAATAATTGTGGATGAAAGATTAAGGGGCGCAGTGGTGGATACAAGGGTTTACCGGGGTTCTAACGTAGGAACGGATCATCATTTGGTTTTACGCCGAATTAATGGTCTATTCAGGCGTTGGCGCCATCGATCATCTGTGTCTACCACTGCGTTACAGCGTATTAGAACAGAAAGGTTACAGGATGAAGGTGAGAAAAACAAGTTCAAATGTAGACTGAAAGAAAATATAAGTGGTTTGGATGAATTATGTATGAAGGAGTTAGACTTGGAGAATGTATGGCAAAATGTAAAGAAAGGTTTAGTGGATGCAGCTACCGAAGTATGTGGTGTTAGTAAGAGAAAGAATGAAAGGAAAAATAATACGTTATGGTGGGATGATGAGGTACGTATGGAAGTTGAAGCAAAGAAGAGAGCATGGCTAGATTTACTATCAACAAAGGCTGGTAATTCTAGCGGTACGAATGATGATATTGAAAGAAAAAGGGCAGTCTTTAGACATCTTAATAAGAGAGTAAAAGAAGTAGTTGAAAGAAAAAAGCAAGAAAGAACGGATAAGAATGATAGAAGAATATCGGATAATTTCCAGGCAAATATTAAAATGTTCTGGAAACTTGTAACAACTGCCAGGGGACATTCGAAACAGCCTATGATGAATGCTATAAGAGACGAGAATGGATATATTCTGAATGATGAAGTTTTGAGTTTAAAGAGATGGAAGGAATATTTTGAAAGCGTGTTTATGAGTGAGGAGACAACGTGTGTACTAAGTGAAGTAGAAACACCGAAAGAAGAGGAAAGAGGTAGCGAGATAAGTATAGATGAAATAATGAAAGCAATGAAAAGCATGAAAGCAGGTAAGGCTGCCGGATATGATAGAGTTTCACTCGAAACTCACAATGCTAAGGGCTGGAGAGGAAGTGGTGGCAGGCCTGCTGCACACCTTGTTTAATTTATGCTGGGAACTGAAGCGGGTACCGGTAGACTGGTGCAAAGCCGTGATAGTCCCAGTATATAAGGGAAGAGGGTCGCAGCAGGACTGTAAAAACTACCGTGGCATCAGCCTTCTTAGCATTGTGGGAAAACTGTATGCTAAGGTACTGATTGAAAGGGTCATGAAAGAAACTGATGGAAAAATTTGGGATGTGCAAGCGGGATTTAGAAAGGGAATGGGATGTACCGATCAAGTTTTTCCATGCGCATGATCGCGGAGAAGTTTTTGGCCAAAAACCAAAAGGTTTTCGTTCATGGACTTGGAAAAGGCCTATGACAGAGTGAATAGGGATGTGCTATGGCAAACACTGAAGTCATTTGGGTTGGGCGCTGGCTTGATACAGGCATTGGAGTCCCTTTATAGAGACTCTAGTGCTAGTGTTAGGATCAACGGGGTCTACTCGGACTGGTTTGACATCCATAAAGGTGTCAGACAGGGATGTGTGGCTTCCCCGTGGGTGTTCAACCTATTTATGGACAGTTGTTTGCAAAATTTGAAAGTTGAAGAATGCGGATTAAGAATGGGTGAGTTAACCGTCAAATGCCTTTTGTACGCCGATGATCAAGTTATCCTTGCGTCGTCGGCGGCCGAGTTGCAAATGATGGTTACATTAATGAACAGATCATTAAAAGAAAGGGGTATGAAAGTGAACGCAAGTAAGACGAAGGTTATGGTTTTTGAAAGAGAAGAAAGTAAAACGATTTGTGAAATAAGAATAGAAGGGGGAGTTGATCGAGCAAGTAGATGAGTTTGTATATTTGGGCTGCGTATTTATCAGGGATGGGAGATATGATAAGGATATAGAACGACGAGTGAATGCGGGAAATAGAGTAAATGAGGCCCTGCACTCTATTGTGAAGAGTCAAAATGTGTCGAAAAAGGCACGTATGGCAATTCACAATGCTGTGTTGGTCCCTACTTTAACGTATGGTAGTGAAAGTTGGGTGTGGCAGAAGAAGCACGAGAGTAGAATGAACGCAGTAGAAATGCGGTCGTTAAAGAGTATGTTAGGGCTGAATCTTAATGACAGGGTAAGGAATTGTGTAATAAGAGAAGAGTGTGGTTTGCTAGATGATGTTGTGACCAGGATTAAGAAAGGAATGCTTCGGTGGTTTGGTCATGTGGAAAGAATGAATGAGGAAAGAGTGACAAAGAAAATTTATGCTGCAGAAGTGAATGGCAGAGTCGGAAAGGGACGTCCTAGGCGAAAATTTATCGACCAAATTGGCGATTTATTGAAAACGGGCCAAATTAGGAGTACCCTTAACCGACGAGCATCTATGCAGAGGTGTATGGATGTGAAGGAGGCGAGAGAAGTGTGTCAGGATCGTGCCAAATGGAAGTCTGTAGTCTCTGCCTACCCCTCTGGGTGACAGGCGTGAGTGTTTATGTTATGTAATTTTATTGTCGTTCATGGACGTGGGTTTAAGTTTATCTTCAAACCATTTTAATACAAAAAAAGATGTCTCGAGCCTAATACAACTACATTTTCGTATCAGTAATTGAAAAAAAAGAAAGATAAATTACATCGGCGATCGATAGATGATCAGAGTATTAAAATAGGATAATAAAAAATTGGACCTTATAGCTATACTAAATTTAATATGTAAAATTAACAACGTGAAGAGATGTTCTATCAAATATAGAATAAAACAGGTTGGGCATGAAATAAAGTTAAAGAGAAAAAAAAATGTTAAATCAATGTATTCCTAACTACTAAACTGAACGACAATTTCATTTTTTTGAGCTATCGTTTACGGTCTAGCTAGCCACTACACGCAAAACAAACTTATCACGGAATGGCGAAAAGGCATATGTTTTACAAAAAAATTCACTATTAAAAACTGCTTATCTGAAAATTCGAAATTTCACCCACAGTAAGGGCATGAGTTTGTCCTTTATATGCAAAAAAATGAAGGAGGGTCGTCACTCAAAAATAAAAGTTATTAGAGTCCAAAATTACAACATGTGGGACACCAACTGCAAAGGTGTGATTATTCCGAGGATATACACTTTCGGCTGATGATGCATATATTTTCGGAAAGAGCTTTCCGAGACGCCGCGAGCGACACCTTCAATTCCAGCCGCAGACTCCTGGTTCGCGAAATCACCTACCCCGTGGTTTTCGGTTTTCCTCTAACTCAGGTGTCCTTTATCCAAAAATACAAAATTTTTGGAGGATGATGTGTGCACCCATGCGGCGCACAAAAATCACTTAAAAAATAGCAGGTTGTGGCGACTAATGGAGCGCCGCACACGATTTACTGTTATGCTAATATGAGAAAAAAAAACGGTAAAAAAAATTACACCACTAGATGCGTCTCGTTAATACGCAAATTTTGACACTAAGAACACTGAAATCCATTAACTTTTTACCACTTTTCGAAAGATGAGATGAGATCTTGTTGATGAGAGCTTTATTATACCAAACAGGATACTGCCGCTTTGGTCTTTGGAAGACACAAGGGACGTATTTATTAATAAAGTCATATATTAGACTGTAGAAACACGATACAGCGACCTCAAGCGACCCTACATTAAGTGTATCCTGCCAGTTTGTCTCCTTTAGATGTTTACAGATTTTCGCATAATCTACCTTATTATATAAGTATTTAAAATGTCCTTTATATGACATGCGAGGTGTCACGATGTCTGTGGCGTCAATTGTGAGAGTGGGATGAAAAACATCTTCGTGTACAAGTGGCGTAATTGATTTAGTAACGTCTACATTAAAGTTGGTAAATATGAGATCAAGAACATTATTGTGAGTATTTACATGTAAGTTATGTTGGTGAAGACCAAGGATATTAATCTGATAAGTAAGTTTTCTGCAGAGTTCTGCAAATCGGTATTGCCCTTTTTTATTAGTGTATAACCATTAGGTGTCCATTGAACACAAGGAAGATTGAAATCGCCACATATCAAAAACAAATCTTCTGAATTTGAGGACATAACGAAAGACAGTAAATCAGTGAAACTTTGTAAGCTTTGAGGCAACATATTATCTGGAGGAAGGTAAATTGCGCAAATATGTAAATTATGACTAGTACCGAGGTCTCTTGCACCTATCGTAATTCAGAGACATTCAAGGTTTTCATGTGACCAATTGGGCCGAGACTTTGCAGAAAACCGTTCCGCAGTCAGAACCATGATGCCGCCACCACGTCTATTCCCGCCGCGATCCCGGCGAAATATATTGTACCTACTGTCGGAAAGTTCGGCGTCAAGAATACCGTCGTGCAACCACGAGTTTGTAATTATTATTATGTCACTATTACAGTTCAAGATGTTAGTGTAGAACTCCTGTGTTTTTGTTCTTAGACCCCTTACATTTTGGTATAGCAGATTCAAAGTATTTCGTTTAATTTTATTATATGTTAATTTTAAACTTAAGACACCCGTTACAAGATACAATAAGTAGTATATACTTGTTGTATTTTGTTTTAAAATAGTAGTAAGTAAGCATATATAAAGTGTGCTTATTAGAGTCGCAACTAGTAAAAAATTGTGTGTTTGTTAGTGATGCATATAATATATGTTTTGACATGATTTAATGAACAAAGTGTGTGTATTGTTTATGTGTATGTGTGTGTTTAAATGCAGATAAAATTTCGAAAATAATTCTTTGAGTTTTAATTTTAGTTTTAATTTTAATTCATTACAAGAATACAAAACGCTAAATAACCAAAAGGTAATAAATGATAAAAATACAGATAGTTGGCTTAATAGGCTAAGTGAGACTAAACTATTTTTTTCAAATCTGAAGCGGTGGAGATTAGCAGCGGAGGTGAACTGTCGTTGCGTCGTACGTAAATTCGACAGTTTTTTGTCCATACGTAACTATAAGCAGATTCTTTGGCTTTTGTTTTTGCTTCAAGAAGAAGTTTTTTGTTACGAGGTGTTAGGTTCGTTCCATAGGTTGACACTTTTGATGATAAGTCTCTACATTTACGCACGGCAGACAAAAACGTGTCTTTACTGAGCCGCGATTTGAAACGCGCGATGATAGGGCGCGGTTGCTTGTTGGATGAGCGCTGTGGTTTCACTCTGTGAACAAAGTCTACATCAGTTTCAAATATTTTTTGGCCGGCTTTTTCTGCTATTTTTGTAAGAACGTCCATGAGACATTCGTTGCTTTTTTCTGGTACTCCTACAATTTCCACATTTTGCTGACGGGCCCACTGTTCTTGCTTAGCAAAATCATGCTCCATTATCGAGATCTTTTTTTTGCATATTCTTAAGATCGCTACGGAGAGAGGAGAGAGGAATAATTCACTAATATTATCCCTAATAGCTCGGATTTTTACATATTAGATCCTTAATAATACCAGGGACTTCATCCTAATTATGTCACAGTATTTTACTGCATTTTGTTAACAAATTCACTAATATTATCCGAAACGCGACGAAGTCGAGTCATTACGTAATCTTTCTCTTTCCTCGATCCTCGTCATCCGAGACTGCATACCCTACGGTTTGCTATTGTTTCCCTTCGATTGTCTGGCTTTACAACTATGGCAATTCCATGATGTATTTTTTTTGTAGTTATCAGCCTTTAAACCCACACAGAGATAATGATATAGCTTATTACACGTTGTTTGGGTGCAAATTATACTTTCCATGGTTTTTACATACTTTTTGCATGCATTACAGTTGTTCATTTTGATTATGAAAAGTAAAACGTTATTTGTTTTGAAGGCAAACACTGATTAATTACAGGTAGATAATAAAGAGCCGTGGTAGCTCAGATGGTTAGCGCTCGCTGTAAATTTCACAGTATGCGAGCAAACCGAGTTCGATCCCCGCCGGCACCAATGAAATTGTTAATTGCAATTTTAAGTGCTGATTTACCACGTGCTCGGCGGTGAAGGAAAACATCGTGAGGAAACCTGCATGTCTGAGAAATAAGAAAAAAAAATTCGAAGACATGTGAAGTTCGCCAACACGCATTGGGGTAGCGCGGCGGACACTTCCTTACCCTAAAACCCTCTCAGAAATGAGGGGAGGCCTGTGCCCAGCAGTGGGACGTATATAGGCTGTAACTTTTAACTTTTAGATAATAAATAATGAAACACTTAACTGTAGGCGAAATTAGTTACTCGGCGTGGAGTCACAAGTGTCTATCGTGTCGCTTACGCGTTTCACCACACAAATTATACGGACGGTAGTAAACACAGTAGATTTGCACTAACACTTATATTTATTTAATTATTACTTCTAATATACTATGTTTCCTTTCAAAGATAAACTATGGTAAAGATAGTTAGCACTGCACTAAAACTTGTTAGCCAAAAATATTTGCTCAAGAATCGAATTAAACTATTAAAAAGAATTTTTGAAACGGAGCTAAACAATAATACTGCGTTTTGTCAACAATGCCAAGTATCAATCATCTGAAACGGTCATAGCTTTGTCTATAGCTTTAAGATTTTTTTGACATTTGTCATAATTTTGTTTCTTATGACACCCACGATTCATATTTTTTTTTGTAAAACTGAAGTGACAATGTCATATAAAATTACATTTCACCAGATGGTAAGTGGCTACTGCAATCCTTGGACACCCGCAACCAACTTCAAACAAAGAAGGCTACAGACACTGTCATCTCTAAGAACTACGACGGAATGCCTCACAGCCTGTTATTTTTACCATTACAGCCTATTAAAGTCCACTGCTGAACATAGGTTTCCCACAATGATTGCCTTTGCTGGGAGTTGCTATGCTTGGCAACCTAAGTTTTATTTCACATTAAGTTTTATTTTAAAATGTTTATCGTAATTCTTTATTAGATTTAGATGTACAATTGATTTATTGAAACACGTAAAAGATATTTTCATTATAATAATCAATGTCAATAATATATATAAACAGACTGCTTCCGATGTTAGGAGCGAATATGAAGTGGCACATTTCTATCGACTAGCGTCTTTACATGCGCAAAAGTCAACTTAGCCCGGCCAAGGTATGATATGCAGACAATACATATCCCTACACTGCCACTACTCGGTACCCTGTTATTATACTGGCTCTTAAGATCATTCTTAAAACTGAAACTACGACAATAATAGTCTTGTGTCATATTAGTAAAATACCGACCAAATACCGACCTCAGATTCCAGTGCGGTAACCTGCTCAGTGAGCACTCTGGCGCGCTTCCTGCTCATGTCGAGTTCCCGCTTCACTTCTTCCAAGGCGCGCTCGCTGCAACACAGCCGATCGCAAGCGTCTTCGTAGTCTCGACGCACGTGTGTCAGAGTCATGTTTTCTTCGCGCATCCTGAACAACAAATAAGTAGTTTTTATTCTATTTAACAAACATAATGTTATTAGTAGATTTTACAATTTTATGTCTTGTCAAATTAATTAATAAAATCCCACCCCTGAGGGGGAGTAAGAAGTTATAAAGGGGGTTAGGCAACCGTAAGTTTTGATTATTATTATATTGCGAAATTTTTATGGAAATGCTGCTGCCTCTATTTCAGTTTCTGTAAACTTTTGTGACACCCATGGGATCATCCCATGGGTGTCACAAAAGTATATACAAGGTAGTATATTTTCTATAATCCCACATAGAAAGGTTAAATTACTTTCATTAAAGTCTTTGTGTTATAGCATGATGCGGGTGACAGCTTACAGTTCGGCATGTCTAGAGATTGAACAATGTGAAATCGACCTTAAAAAGGCGATTAACGATACACCAAGCAAAGCCAAAATTATCGATTAGCTGTCGATATAAACATAATGAACATAATATATTTCTTTATAAACTACAATGCATGTTAAATTAAGTTAAAGTTTAATACAAATTATTACGCGATAGTTACATAATAGCTGTTCCCACGACTTCGCACGTGGTATTTATAACAATTGGATTTCATGTGTTTTAATTTTTTGCGCGGAATCCAAATTTTTTTTCTAAAGTAAAAGTAGCCTGTGTTAGTTCCTATAACATCATCTATCTGCCAGCGCAAGCTATAAGCCGGAACAAACAGACAGAAAGACAAACATTTTAAATTTGTTTTTGTCTTTCTGTTATAAATACTGTATATACTTTCATATGTATTTATTAAAAGGCAGTTATTTTGATATTACAAACAGACACTTCAACATATAGATTATACTATCCATTAATTTGAAAATTAAATCATCATCTATTTTATGTTGATTGCAACATTCATATTGACAAACAAACAAAATGGCTGTCAGCTGCACCGGCAGCTATTCAAGGTATGTGCAAGTGACTTTCGCTATGTGTCTAATACAGTGTTGCCAGGTCTAATGGGCCAAATATTGGGACGAAAGGTAAAAATAATAGAGAATTTGGTTTACAAATATAATGCAATGTAAAAAATAGGTTTTTTTGTAGCCATTTTGACTGCCATTAGTTTTGATTCGTCTAAATGCATTTTTTTCCGTAAATCAGAATTTGTTGAACGATTAGTTCCAATCCCAATACATATTTACGTTAATTGATATATTCAATTTATATCAAAACCGATTTTTTATAGTCTGTAGTTGTTCCTTATGGCATAATGTAGTTTAGCAAGCCACATCACTATCGTATGTGGGTGGTTCCCATTCATAAAGATCAACAATATCTTAATCTGTACGACAGATTATCTAATAAAATAGGAAACTTCATAGGTGTGAGCTGTCATTTGCACCATGTTACAATGTAAAGACTATAAGTTAATTCCTACAATATTGTATTTGTTCTAAGTTTTACTTTTTATATGTAACACACTAATTCACTGGACAAATACTAAATAGTACCAATAGTAAATAAATAAATTTATTAAAACTTGCAAACAGCCTCTGCTAGACATCTGCTAATGACGTTACCTATTCATTTGCATGAGAGCACCATGTTCAGCAGTGGATGGGCCCATGAAGAAATAATATTAATGATGCTTTGTACACACATGTTGAGATGTGCCCGCAACGAGTCCCGCTCGGCGGTGATCGCGGCCAGCGCCTCCTCGTGCTGCCTGTCCGTGAAGTCCAGCTGGTTTCGGAGCTGCTGGGCTATATGAGTTTTCTCCTTCAATTCGAACTGGAGCTCCTCTAGCAACTGAAATCCTGCATTACAAAATATTTACTATGATTTTTGATTACAAGATTTATGATTACATGTATTTTATGTGGTAGAGCCATGCTATAGCTATATTATGCTAAAGCTCGACCAGGGTAGGACCACACACTCACAGAATATGAGCGTAAAATAGAAGCTTAATGCGGCTGTGTTTCAAATGGTGAGTGGAGAATCGGAGTATCTTTTTACTGGAAACGAGACATTCCATAGTAGTCCTCAGGGGTGACAACGCATGTGCATTTTGATTTTAACCGAAGGTAAAAGTAGATGTCTATGGGCCACAGCATCTACTTGTAATGAAATGATTGACTTTTATTCAATATACAGTAAACCCTCGTTAACAAGAACACAAAAAAATCAGACAAATAGTTCGTGTTACAGGGGAGTTCGTGTAATCCGAACAATGCAAAAATTGAATTCGTGTTTCTATACTCAATATTATGATTTATCATAAAAACATTTTTATTAACCTCTTCAGACCTGAACTAGAGGGGACTTATGTATAAGTAACTTTTTGCGTTTTTTATACTTACTGGGGTCAAAATAAAAACTATAATTTTTTAAAAAAAATTTTATTATTATTATTAATATAAAAAAAAGTTGTTCCACATATGTGGACCTTGGGTCTTAATGCGGTCCAAAGTTCTTATTAGAATGGTAACTCTCGAAACAGTTATTTTTTAATATACATAAAAAAACATGACATTTTACACACATAGTGCGGCATTTGGATGAACATGTCGGATGGCGACATTTGGATGCGTTCTTGGAATCAATGAATCGTGGCAGGTGGCCCACATTATCCAGCCTTGTTTCAGGTAGCGGATGGGGTACAACCGCTCGATTTTTTTTTGCAGGAGGCTCATCACAGCCCACGTCCGTGATTTTTGGGTTGGAAACTGCCGAGGGGCCAGGGCTAGATTGAGATCTGGAGCCAGGACGCATAAAATTTGGGTCCACTCTACCACCGTCAGGCTCAAGCCAAATTCAAGCGGTATTGAAGCAATCCCAGCTTATGCTTGCTTTCCACATTTTCAACTTTGCAACAACGCATGTACATCAACCAGCAATTGACAACCACAAGGTCGAGAAAGTGACAAAACGTTCTAACTGTCCATTTTTTTGTGCGCATTGAGCTCCGATAATATGCAATGAGCCGATCACACAAGTCTATTCCGCCCATGCAAGTGTTGTAGGTTTTTACAACAGCTGGCTGTGTCACATCTATCTTTTCTTTTCTAACCTTACACCAACGCTGGCACGTAGTTGCTGGCTCACCTCCTGTACATGTAGATAGCAATGTTACCGCTTTTGTGTCTTTCCATTTCACGATACATATGTTATCATCATTTCGGACTTTTTCATCCCAGGCCCTTCTCTGCAACTCCTTGTCTGGCTTCAATTTCGTAGATACTGGGCCAATTCTATTTGTCATAACAGTTCCAGTTAGAAATATTTGATTATTATTTGCAATAAGATGCTCGGCCAGTTTTAAACTAGTAAAAAACCTATCGGTGTAAAGAACACAACTGCTTTCAATGGTGCGGCAAAGAGTTTGCACAATGCCGCCTCCTAGTCCCAAATTTTTCATAATTTCTGGTGATATGGTGTCTTTACCAACATATATTTCGAAATCTAACACTATTCCATCTCGGGCAGCGAGTACAAAATTTTTAAGTCCAAGTGGATTAGGTTTACTTGGAACGTACTGACGGTACTCACATCGCCCTGCAAATGGTATCATTTGCTCGTCTATGGACATGTGTTTAGAACGAGGCAAACTGTGGCATTTCTTTAAAATTGGATTAATTATTGGCCTTATTTTCCATAGTTTGTCGTTAGTATCTGGACAGTTCAGGTCTACGAAGTGGAGATAATTGCGAAGTTCAAAAAATCGGTCCCGAGGCATGGTATCCCTGATAATAGGCACACATAAATCTCTAGTCCAATAAAGTTTTCCTTGGGGGTATTTAAGAGTACCCATCAATAATTGCATACCCGCAAAATGAATAATCTCAATGGAGTTTGTTTTCAATGATTTTAGATCACGTTTTTTGAGCAGAATAAATGTTACTTTGTTCAGCCACCATTTCCCAGAATTCTGTTCCCAAGTACTCAAAAAAACAATACAAAATGTTCATCTCTGAAGTACCCTGCGCTACGAGCTCATCATCTGCGATGTCTGGTCCACGGCAACGCATTTCTTTTGTACGCCAAAACAACGGTGCTGACCTTCCAGGTTCCGCTTCTGTCAAATTTTCTTCTTCATCTTCTTCTGAATCGTCGGACTGATGAAGAGCCCTTACCACTTCTGGAGGCAAGTAATCATTGTCATCTTCATTGCCAGAGAAGTCAAAGTCACTTTTATTGAGAATATCCTCAATATCCCGGTCATTCATGATAGAACTGAAAAATAGTAATATGCTATTAAAACCAACGTTAAATCCTGAGGTCCACATACGTGGAACAGCAAAAAAAATTCGAATTTTGATACAAAAAAAACAAACAGAAACAAAAACTCACCCTTTCAAACATAAATTTAGTTATTCAGCTATACAAAACTACAACACTTTCGACTTGAAGCAAACAAAATAATTTTATATTGATTTTCAAAGTTCGAACGTGACAGACCTACGGAAAATTTTCAAACGAACAATTTCAAACTTAATTTTACGTGTCAAAACTATTGTCTAAAAGCCATCTATCGGTTTAGATAGAAGCTCTGTATCCTTTATCGACTTTCATTAGTATTGACAGTTGTCACACGATGTCGCTAACTGTTGCAATTCTAAAAATGCTAAGGTCCTCGTATGAGTACCTACGGTCTGAAAGAGGTTAATAACTTTGATATTATTGTTTTATATTAGATTTTTTAACTTAACATTATTATCACATATCATTTATAACTTAACATTATTATTATGTTCATCAGACATCAGTTTATATGTACACTTCTTAACAAAGCCAAATTGTTAAGAAGCCTTTGCTTTTGTTAATTAGTTTTCAAAAGTTTACAACCTTTTCAATAGCTTTTGTAAGACGGAAAGAAAATTTGAGGTATTGTTTCTATTTTTAGGAACTCGAGTGAATGTTTGATATCCTAATCCTTTATCTATTTTTATAAACTCGAGTTAATGACTTTTCTAACCTCTTCACCCATTGTTTACCGGTATTTGTATTGACCAAAAAAGGACAAAAAATATACAAAATACATGATTTGGGAATTTTTATAGTTCGTATTATCCGATAATTAACCGTGAAGGGACGAAAAAGTTGTTCGAAGTTCGGATTAACGAGGGTTCGTCTTAACCGAACATAATTACATTGAAGCTTATGGAACTATTGTCTAGAGCAAATTTTTGTTCGCCTTAAACCAAAATTCGTGTTAACCATGTTCGCATTAACGAGGGGATTACTGTAGATTATTGTATAATATTTATTAAAAGTAGTTTTTTTTATTTACCACGGTTTGCAAAAACTTACCATCAGGTGGACTGTGTGCTTGTTTGTAACCCCAATTCTATAAAAATAACATATATAATATATATTTTCATCATTATCATCATCATCAACATCAGCCCACACCTCTCCTGTTGTATGAACATTGGTGCCATAAAAATAAGTAAAAGCACAGGGAGTACAGAAGGGTAGAATTTTGGGTGTAATGTATTCAGTATTGTCATCAAACCATTTTCCAGTGTTAATAACATGCTTTTAAATAGAGAGGCCTATGTCAACAGCACAGCGGACTAAATCCAGGATGTTCAGGAAGAGGAAGATGATCTCTTTGGATAAATAATAAAAATAATATGTTAGTTCTTATGAATTTGGAAGAAGTTTATGTCCACAGTGGTTAAAGCAAAAATGACTTTCAATATGTTTAATTTTAAATCTTTACTGAATAAAATATAATTCCTTTTGATGTGATTATCTTTAGATATACAGAGCACAGATTTTATCTATTTAGACTTCATATATATATGGATTGTTGAAATATTACTATTTATAAAAAATCTCATTTTTTATGAAATGTTGTATCAATATTATTATCAACATCAAATGTTTTAACATTTTGAGCAACCTAAATCAGAATTTTCTTAATATATCAATTCATTCCAATGTCATGCCCTATGATAAAGGTTTTTTAACTTAGAAGTCATTGTTTAATCTTACCATCTGTTGAAATTCCAGAATCCGAGTCGTGTGGTGCGTGTTCATTCATCAAATTGAAACTGCAAAAGATCAAGATAAAGATTATACTAAAAGGCAAAAATTATATCTTTTTTGCTACTTTGTTGTTAGATATACCAACTACTGTTTAAAACAATGTTACAGTATCTAAATAAAATCAACCAAATCCAAGTCGGACTTAAAGAAAACCCCCACAGCTTTTTTTGTTTTGGTTACAGCTACAAACTACATTATATGATTTGATGTTTTCAGTATTTTTTGTTAAATTCCAGTTTTTGAAATAGACCCCGTCTATAACAGACAACTTTGGGCCCTCGTTTAAATATTTAAAAAATCTATTTATATTCTACTCAATAAGCTCTAGACAATGAATTCCCACATGCTAGAGTAAGAATTTTTTTTGTATATATATGTAACACATAAGAGACAACTATGAAAAATAAATAGAATTTCTAATTTAAAATTTGGTTATGTGTCGACATTCTACACTACATTTAAAAATTTCAGGTCTGTAAGTAATTATATGTAAGAGCTAAAGATCTGTGACATACAACAGAAGGACAAACAGCAGAGTGAAATCAATAAGGCTCCATTTTACTTTTTGGGTATTTATTGCAGCTTGTAGTATTAATATGTATATAAAAGTCAGTATCAATATAGGGCAGCAAAACTAGTCTGGTTTTATATTAAGAATCTTGGCTATGTTTACATAGCCAAGCATTTAGACATCTTATCAATAATGTTGTCTAAATCAGAACACATTGTTTAATCATCTTAATACTTTATACAGTATGGAAACCTAAAAACTTACATTTCATTTTTAAAGAAATGATTTTAAATGTAGGCAAATGCACAACTAATAAAATAAAAAGAATATGTTATGTGATTTTTCTTTTTTATGATGGCAAAAAAGTCAAAGTTTAATGCCTCAACAGATAAATAATACTATTTTATATAGATGCGAAGACCGTAGGGCAAGATCTTTTTTTTTCCTTTTAGTTTTTTATTAGGTTCTTAATGTCATTGATATTACATTAGCATTAATCAATTGTTATTCAATAAAAGGTTGTAAATTAGTAATGATCCATACCTTTCTTCTAAATCAACCTTTATCTTATGACTTTCACTGTACTTGTTTAAGGCTATTGCCAATCCTGAAACAGTAACTTCAGGGTTGCTTTGTTCTGGATCTAGAAGTGATTTTAAGTAGCTGTATTCAGACCTGGAATGCAAAGTGATAGAAGAGCTTCTCTCAATTAGGAATTTATTAATAAAACTGAAATTATCTATTTTGAGATTTAGATGAGATTAGATTAAGATATCACATAAATAAACTAGTATTAGATAGTTTATTTATGTTATATATTAATCTAAAAAAACGTGATCTTTCATTATAATTGCATTATGAAGTATCACATCAATATACTTAATTAGGTAGTAAAGTAAGTTTCCAAACAACGCACAGGTGGTCACTGGCCTCCACTGATTTGTGCACTGTAAATATATATTTTTGCTGGCAAAATAAAGCGATATAAAATAATTAAGCTTACCTATTTGTTTTAATAAAAGGCGCCAATCTTTCCATTAACGCATCAATTCGCAAAGTCGCTGTACTATCAACACCACAATAGTCAAAAATCCGTGCGGCTGTGACAAAATAATCTGTAAAACCAAAAATAAATTTTATTTTAAAGGAGGAACGTTACCAACGCAGTGTTTTAATTATAAAAGTTTAAATTTGTCCTTTACTCACCGTCCGTGCTGGAGTCTCCATTTAAATCCATTTTTATAGCGTTTGTAATTTTAATAATTACAATTTTTCCAGGAATTTAATAATTACTACACAAATTTATATAACCCGTGCACGTTTTTAGACTCGATTGTTTATTTTCATTAACCTAAATAAATTCGTTACGCTACAGCGAAATACGAAAATAGTTTGTTTAAAAACGGTGCGACCATAGATAGTACAATATACCAGGTTTCGACCAAAGAGTATATTGCTTTATGTAATATATTATATATGGAGTATATAATCAGAATTTAGGTTCAACTGGGTTCAACCCAAGTTCAACCACAGAATACGTATCACAGAACAGGAACACCATTTCAGAAAGAATTTGCATTCAAAGCCGTGGTTAGGTCATTGATAATCAAATTCTGCAGGAGAGATCAGGACCACAAGAGGATTGCACCAACGCCAACGGTACACCGTGTACGTAAGTCTACTACGACTCTTTTCCATTATATTTTGTGATCAGTGTTCCCGTAAATCATCAAATAAAAAACTGGACATTTAAAGATGTAACAAATATATTTACAATGATTCTTAAACATTCAATACATGATAGTCCTAAAAAAACCGGCCAAGAGCGTGTCGGGCCACGCTCAGTGTAGGGTTCCGTAGTTTCCCGTCCGTCACAATAAGTGTTCCCACTTATGAGTTTAAAGGTGGGTATCCATTATGTTCGCGCTCCAGCAGCGCTCCGCGCTCCTGCAACTGCTCCCGGTGGTGGGTACTGTTGTTTTCATCCAAGTTCAAAATGATTTTCCTAGAAAGTCCTTATAAAGTTCTACTTTTCAGATTTTTTTCATATTTTCTAAACTTATGGTTCAAAAGTTAGAGGGACACATTGTTTTTTACTTTTGGAGCGATTATTTCCGAAATTATTGACATTATCAAAAAATGATTTTAGTAAACCCCTATTCATTTTTAAATACTTTTCCAACAATATATCACACGTTAGGGTTAAAATTAAAAAAAAATCACTTCCCACTTTACATATAGGGGGGCTACCCTAATAAAACATTTTTTTCCAATTTTTATTTTACCACTTTGTCGGCGTGATTGATACACATATTGGTACCAAATTTCAGCTTTCTAGTGTTAACGGTCACAGAGATTAAGCGAGGACGGACAGACGGACAGACAGACATGGCGAAACTTTATAGTTGACTACGGAACCCTAAAAATTATATTAATTTCAAAATTATATTAATTACAAATATTAACGTATTCTTATAATGTTTAATATTTCCGCCAGACTACTCCGCACTCTTAACACAGCCAACTTTGTTTCTATCATTGTGAAGTCGGTTAACTCCATCTGTAAAATAATAAATTATATATTGTTAGGTAACATGTAAGACACTATCCAAAAATACTTAAAAACTAGTAGCTGTGAATAAAGAGTAGGTTTTTGTAAATCAACCATGACTATCGAATACTTCGTAGTTTTGTATAAATAACAGGAACTAGGGAAAGTAAAGGAATTTGAAAGAGGCTTGTGACGTTCAAAACTACTCGTTTGTATGGGATGTAGATAATTTTAAAGTAATTTGTTAATATTAAGCCTGCACATTTTTTAAATACTGATAATGCTATACACATTGTTAATATTCCGGTAACAATTCCAAGTAAACTTAAAATGCTTGTGTTAAGAGTACTTCACGACGGTAGTCGAATAACGGATACGAATCCACGAACTTTAAAGTTCGTGTAAAAACAGTACCTAGGCTACTGTAGCTTACTGTCCAAATTGTAAAAGAAAATAAATTCACTTTGGATTTCGATAGTGTTTTGAATTTGAATTATTTATATTAGCGACCACAATGTTTATTACCAAGAATCAAGTGCTTTGCATTTCGCCCTTGGGACAAAGTGTCAATTAGGTCAGTTAGGTTTGTGACGCTTACTTACATTGAAATAACTTGACTAAAAACCTTAATCAAATATATTTACCCAACTTAGGTATGCAAGTTTTGCTCAGCGTTAGAAAGAATAAATATAATTTTCACATTTTCATAGCCAAAGGTTGTCACCATAAACAATAAGAAGTGCTAGATGGCAGGCGGGTTAGCAGCCGTAGTTTTTTTAAATTAATTTCAGTTGTTATCAAGAAAATGCATCCATTTCCTGTTTTAGTTTCCCTCTGTCGCCTTTGTCACCACCACCACATGGTTTCATTTAATTGTAGTACGATAAAATAATATTTTTAGATGAATTAAAAAGTACGCCGTTAAAAGCTATAGTACCATAAAAATGTACACATAACTTCGCAAAAATTTTTTAGTCCATAATAATTTGTTTTTGCCTAGCTGTGGGGCCGTGGGGCTCTAAAAATTAGAGATAGGCCGAATATAGATTTCACCGAATATGAATGTTCGGTAAAACTTTTACCGAAGCTAATATTCGGACGAACATTATACGGCGGGATCACCTCGGTACCTAATCAATTTATGTCGAAACTTGTGACCGTAAAGTGTGCGGTATTAGCGCCAGACCTTACCCCTCGCTCCCCCGCCACACTTGAAATGCATCATCTAGCACTAAACATATTGCCTGCAAATATGGTAAAACTTTTACCGAACTACTATTACGACTATTTTAGTGAAAAAAAAAGTATATCGTTATATTATTCTTAGTGAAAATTGATAATTATATAATAAAAATGAGTGGCAGGAGATCTACCATTTAGACTTATTTTAGAGAAACTGACGACCAAAGTAAAGTGAAATGTTATAATGTAATGTAATGTTGTTTGGTTCCAAAAAAGTATTATCAAGCTTTCTATTTGCTATATTTTGGAAAGAAATCTACAGTGCCTCAAAAACATAAAATATAGTTTCAACAGTAAAACTATGGCACAAATGTCGAAGGTCTGTCACACAGACACCACACATTCACCTAGTGACACAGACACTGATAGAACATTGGATGCACAGATTATATGCACAGATATCTGTGATTGGATGGGTCACGGCGAGTCACCACTCCTCCACACCACGTACACATCGTACACCCGCGTCTCTGGGCGATTCTCATCGCCAACATCGAACAACATGAGTTAGCCGTCAGAGCCGGTGCCCGCCAACCTCTGTTGGGACGGCCGTTAGATAACTCACGTGCACTGTATACTGTCATAGAAGTCATCGTAACGTAAGTAATTATGCAGAATCATTTAAATTCACTTTTACCTATGAAGCTGTAATAGCCAAAAGGCTAACGGTAATAACATCATCAGAAACCAGTAAGTGCAGACCGGAGGGGAGTAGCCATAACGTTTTTCTCCGATACAGAACTGTCTGTCAATTTTTGAGGGGAAAAATCTGCCCACGCAAAAAGAATTGTCTGTCACTACGAAACTCACACATTGTAATTAAAATAATAAAGTATATAGTAATATCAATATGTATGTAGTAATATCAATATACATTAGCACATTATAATATTATTTGCTCGGTGATAACGACAACTCGGATACAGACTTGGATCAGTCGCTCCACTGATCTATATGTTGTATGATTTCGAACGGTCTGTGTTGGTAAAAAATCCGAAACAACACGACCTTTATTGAAGTGAAACTTTTTGGAATCGTTGTGATTTGAAACTCGATGAAATGAAAAAGCGACACTAAAAAGAGACAAACAAATACATGTTTAGCATTTAGCCTGCGAGAGAATGAGATAGAATACAGTGTAGTAAGCTATAGTAGTCTAGTAGCATGCTGCGGACCGTGACCTCAAAAGGTTGTGGGTTCGTATTCACCATTTTCAGCTTACCAGTATCAAAAATTAAGGGCGTAATTATCTTATTAAATAAACCATTAGCCATGAAATACTTTGATTTTATATTTAACTTCGTTTGAAATATTCACTTACCGCATGTGAACTGCACGCATGTTTTTGTAATAGGAATTTTTAAGTTTAAAAAGCAACTAGGTGATTAAAATTACTAATACATGAAAGGCAACGCCAACTTTTTAGTAAATTTGACGTGTCAGATCTCTTTTTGTAGTAAAATCTGAACGATTCAGCAATTTTGTACGACGGCAGCAATTTTGCAGCCGCGCAACTAGATTTAATTTAGTAAAGAGTGCGGCTGAGACTAGTTTTATTGTACGCATATGACCGCGTGGACTTATGATTTGATAGAGGTATGCCTGCGTAAATATGACTACTCACCTCCGATCCGCCGGTGGTCAATGTTGCTCTATGATTAAGAACATAGAGATTATATAATTTTTATGATAATGATTATATAGATTACATAATTTTTTGATTAGTAATGTAATAAACTAATCATAAATTGCGCGTTGTTGCTCTGTGTGGAAAAAACACGGAGAAAACGAATTTTCCCAGAAATTATACCTAACTAGATTGATTTTAGGGCCCCGTGAACCCCGCATTATTGTAAATTTCAACGAAATCCTTAGAGGCGTCTTCGAAATCGCGATTAAAAACAAATATATTTATAATGCTCTTATAATAGTATAAGATTATATTATTACCCCATCAGGTGGATCCTTTTCTCTGGTGGGGAATCTTCCATACATACGCTCACAAATTGCACACAAGCCACACCAGGTGCGATATTTTAGTGTATTCAAAGCACTCTGAAAGAAATTTTTATACAATAAAATGAACGAGATTTCAATAAATGAGATCAAACATTTTTAATTGTCCTTCATTGAGAAATATAAATGCATAATATTAACATTAATCAGGTAGTACAGTGTTTAAAACTGTATTCGGTAAAGTACTAAAGTCTTTATTATTTATACACACACATCTCCTGTATCACCGTCCGCTGAAGGAAAATGATCCTTATATCCTTTATCAAGTAGTGCCAACTTGATATCGTCGGTAATGTTATCCTCCTCCTTATAGGAGTCCCATTCCATTAAGGATTTGAATTGAGTCGCCTGGTCCATACTTAACGTTCCGCCCATCATTAGGATTAATCCTTCTTCAATATCCTGTAACACGATCATAGATAGTTGACAGGTGACAAACATATTCTAAAGATTCGGCTATTAGTTATTCCAAGCTAAAGAGACCTGTACAGGAGAGATCCATCTCATCATCGAACTCTACTAAATAGTGACATTTACCTAATCGTCGTGGTCTCGTTGTCTTTAAAGTCAGCGAATTGAATTAAAAGTAAACACGCTGTAAACGCAGTGAAGTTACAGCAGGAACACACCCCATAGCTGGGCACGTTTTCTCCAAACGTCTGAGGCGATTATGGAGCGATTTGTCCGCCGTGTTGTAGCGGTGCGTATTGGCGGATTTCATTTGTAGTTTAAAAACTATATTTGTATAACATGTAGGCTCCCCTTCCTCACGCTGTACTTTTCATCGCCAAGCACGAAATAGATCATAAATTAAATATGTAATTAACCATTTTGATAATGACGGCCAAAGATAATGTAATCACTGTTTCCTACGGCGCCGGCTATGATTGCGCCCAAGGTGTTCGCAGCCACCACTTATTCCCCCACTGTTCTAATTATACTGAATTACTACTACCACAAAATAAATAATAGTACTACGTACTAATATAATATACTACTAATATACTACGTACTAATATAATAGTAGTAATAAATAGAAAATGTACCTTTACTGGCATTCTGTACCCTTTCAGTCTGAACTTCCTCAGGACTGTGAGATATAGAAGTTGCTTGGACTTCTTTATGGTAACGAATCTCGAAGCGTATGTCATTGGTGATAAAGCTATTGGAATGTTAAAAATGTTAGTTTATTTTAAAGTGAATTTTCCTTTAGGCACGTTGGGCGATTTTCAGAGAGGTGAAATTTTATGAATTCGCATCACAGACGGGCTAATATTAATAACAGTATACATACAGATATAACTACTGTTAATATTACTGTACTCTTAGATGCTGGGCTAGTCACAATGTATACGACATTCCAACACTCAGAAATGTCTATTGCATTTACTAGGCCAAAAAGTCGAGAACCAGTAATTGATTCATCATTTGAAAAATCTCCACACCCACCTGTGGGCAGGCCAGTGAGCCCAGAGTCAATACCTTAGTACTTACGCTACACCTCAATTGGATTTAAATGGACATAATGTCATTTGGCGGTTGTCGGAGATGCGATCGGTATTTAGCAAGATGCATAAGCAAGTGAAATGGGCATTTGGACATCTTTATTTCTGATTGAAACGTGTGTGTCTCCAAGTCAAGAATGCATAGAATTTTATTACACTAAGACAGTGCCGTTTACTACCTACGGGTATAACACTTACTACCAGGTGAGATACTTTTTATGACTTTCTTGTAAATAGTAAAAAAATTCATTCTTTAAAGGACTGTGCAATTATTATTATCTACATAAATGGCGTCTCCGTGGAGTGTTCGCGTAAGACAATCCATTACTCCTTCGTCCATCCCTTGCGTTACAAGAACGTCTTGGTTGTTATAAAAGGCGATTATAGGATATTTCAGAAAAATGTTATGGCTTCCGATAGATGGTGGTATATCTATCTCGTTTACGTTAGAATTAAAATTCCTAAACCTTTATACACTTAGCATCGCTGGCAGTCGCCAAAACTGCGAACTGCGATTCGCCTGCCAGCGTAAGATTTAGGCAAATTCTCCGTGTATTTTATGTGAGATTACCTAGGCTGCACTAAAAGTATCGGGAATGGAATATTTCCAATGTTCCTGTGATATTAAAATCTTTTTAATTGAAAACTCCTTGGTTTTAAAAATCGAATACCATTTATTTATTTAAAAAAAAGATTCTCGGTCTTGTCACAAGATTTTGTCAAACTTGTTTAGTCGTTGAGAAAATGGAATTGACTCGAGAAAATTCAAGAGCGATGATTTATTATGACCTTCAAAGTGGTTTAACACAAAAACAGTGTGTTGATCGGATGATTTCTGCATTTGGTGATGAAGCCCCATCCAAAACCACAATTTATCGCTGGTTTGCTGAATTTCAACGTGGACGTGTCAAGCCCAGTGATGATCTCCGTCAAGGTCGTCCAAAAACTGCAGTCACCCAAGAAAACGTTGATGCTGTGCGTAAGCTGATTGAGGAAGATCGACATGTGACATACCGCGAAATTCAGGCAACTTTAGACATTGGCATGAGTCGAATACCTACAAATAATCTTGCATGAACAATTAGGTGTAAAAAAGTTATTTTCCCGATGGATACCGCATTCGCTCTGTGAAGAGCAAAAAGCGGCCCGCGTTACTTGGTGCGTCAGAACTCTCGAAAGATTCCACGCAGGATTCTCAAATACTGTACACAACATCGTATCAGGTGACGAATCCTGTATATACTCGTGTACGAACCCGAAACAAAAAACCAGTCACGAGTTTGGGTGTTCGAAAATGAGTTAAAGCCAACAAAAATTGTTCGTTCACGCAGTGTTGCAAAAAAAATGGTGGCCACGTTTGTCTCCAAAACCTGCCATGTTACGACTATTCCTCTTGAGGGACAAAGAACGGTTAATGCAGCATTTGTTTGCCAAAGGTCGTTTCTGAACTCCGTAAAGAGAACTGCAACCGCCGCATCATCCTCCATCACGACAATGCGAGTTCTCACACCGTAGACAGAAGAAAAGGGTTTTTAGAGCAAGAAAACATAGAACTATTACACCATCCGCCGTACAGCCCCGACCTAAGCCCTAATGATTTCTGCCTCTACACCTGAAGAGGCTGTGGACGCCTACAAAACGGCCATTTTGGAGACTCCAACTTCCGAATGGAATGGTTGCTTCAATGATTGGTTCCATCGTATGGAAAAATGTGTCAAATTTCGCGGAGAATACTTCGAAAAGCAATAAATACATTTTTAAATAGTAATGTTGTGTCACTTCCTTGATTCCCGAAATTTTCAGTAGAACTGTTAGCCTTTTGGTTTTTACAGCTTTATCACTCAAGGCTCATGTGAGGTTCGAGTGAGGCAAATGTCCAGCTGAGTACTTTTTCAGGTTGATAAACTACAAAAAGGAAGAAACTTACGGTGTCTCCGTGGAGTGACGTTGTAAGAATATACACCACCACATATCATCCCGTAGAGTTGCGTGTAAGAGGTGACAAAGTGAAACTCAATAAGGAGATGGTTATACGATATGGGTAGAGCCATGCTGCAGTTGTATTAGTAGTATAGTTGTAGCACGAATGGGTCGGCTCGACCGGGGAAGGACCACGTCTCACACAATACCAGCGTAAAATAGTAGCTTAATGCTGCTGTGTTTCGTATGGTGAGTGTAGACCCTTACACACATTCTTAGTCCTTACGGGTGACAACGCATCTGCATTTTGATCTGTAATCGAGGATAGATGTAGATGTCTATGGGCCGCAGCAACCACTTACTATTACTTACTATTCTATAAAAAAATCTTCACGGCAAAAGCTGAATAAAAATAATAAACAGTAACCAAGCGTCAACAATGACAAATGTACCCCCTGTGAGGTAATTTGGGGGAAGGCCTATGTTTAGCGGTGTAATTTTTATAGGCTTTTTTATAGAATAAGGGTGACCAACGAGCACACAGTCCACCTGATGGTAAGTGAATGCTGTCGCCCATAGACATCTACATCTATCCTCGATTAAGAATCAAAGTGTAGATGTGTTGTCACCCCTGAGGAGTAAGATCTAGAGAAGAAAGCCTGTTTCGAATAAAAAGGGTCTCCGGTATTCTCTCCTCGAAACACAGCAGCATTAAGCTGCTGTTTCACGCTCGTATTCTGTTAGAGCGGGGACCTTCGTGCGACGACTATGTTGCAGCATGGCTCTACCACATTAAAATAGCTGTAATGGTAATCGTAAGGATATTTATTTATTTATTCATTTTATTAATTGACGATTATGGTTCAGTTATTGAGTTTTTCTATGAAGATATTCTCAGTAGTAGCCTGGAGTCGCGAATTGGCGATGTTTCCCCCCTCGTGCTTCGGAGAGCACGTAAAGACGTCAGTCCTGCACTTGCCTTCTCTCCCGTCGTATCAGTTTACCGTTCCATCTATGAGAATAAGGTATTAGAGGTTTTAGAGCACTATAATACTGACCCGCGTAGGTATAGCTAGTCTCCGTTGAGACTGACCGCCGTGACCGAAATACGGTCAGGACAGGTAGAGGTAATATGGTCTGGGCCATATTATAAAGATAATATATTGTCTCACTCTCGAGTTGTGTGGAGTCTATGGGCAGTGAGAAGCAGGCGGTCTGGCGGGTGAAGACGCGCGGCACGTGCAGCCAGTCGGCCAGGCCGCCGCCGCCACTTGCCGGCTCCAGCGCGCGCATCATACATAGCAGCTCCGGCCCAGCCGGCCGAGAACCACGGGTGCGGAGCGCTTCTTGTAACACGTAACGGCGCTGCCAACGGTATGTAATAATTAGGGATACCACGCCTTTTATTGCCACCAGGTGGCGACTCTTAGAAATGAGGCAAAAAAAATCGGCAGATTTCATAGGGAGGAAGTTCATTTTAGTTATATTTTATTAAAAATTGATAAAATGGTTATAAAATATTTTTTTAAAAATGGATTAAAAATGGATAAACCAAACTAAGGATATTACTAAAAGTAGGAGAATTAAACACAAAAGAATTAAACAGTACTGAGACATTGTTTTGTGCATATACATACACAAGAAAATGAAAAATTTATAATTAAATCGCAACTTTTGAATGATAATAACAGGCCCTCTTCTACTAAAACATCTAGAATTTTCGAGTACATACCGGTACCGAACTCTCTAGAAAGAGTAGTTCTGCTACTCGATACTAGATGGCGCTAGTGCCATGTACCAGGCATTAGTTATGGCACGCAACACTGCCCCCTCCTAATACACGCTCGTCCCGAGTATTACCGGCCACATAATAACGCGCCAGTCGATCCACATGGACGATCTTAGGAGTAGCTCTCGCACCTTTCTGTATCCAGTAGGCTACGTCATCGATCCTTGTCACAATCCGGTACGGTCCCTCCCATTTAGCTTGAAGGTTAGGAGATTTCCCTTTACTGCGGACTGAATCGTGCAACCACACTAGTGAACCTTCGTCAAACCCTTTGTTTTTGAGGGGCCTGTCCTGAGCATCCTCACAGATACCACTTCCTTACCCTCTTGCCCAGTACAATGTTTGCAATTTTCAGGACAAGGTCTTCTTGACAATGCACCTGCACCTGCAAAACATTTCCTGCTGCGATGTTCGATCACAAAGTCATATTCTTGCTGCTGCTGGGCGGTGCTCTTAGCTACAATACCCCCTCGAGATCGATCACTTTCACTTTTTACAGTTCGCTTAGGGTATCTGGATCGAAGATGGCCCCTTTCCCAACAGTCGTAACACCTTGGGCTGTATCTTTTATTGCGATCGTGAAATGTAACTGCTGCAACCTCCCAAACGCGATGGGAACGATGATCCTGCCGCTGCTGGGTAGTGCTGTTAGCCTCTCGAGAGCATTACCCTCTCGAGATCGATCACCTTCCCTTTTTACAGTTTGCTTAGGGCAGCTGGATCGACGATAGCCCCTTTCCCCACAGCCATAGCATATAGGGCTGTATCCTTTATAGCGGTCGCGAACTGTAGCTACTGCAACCTGCCTGGCGCGAAATTTGGGAACGATGAGCTTCCACCTCCAATGCATGGGCCAAGACGTCCTTAAGCGTCTCGTGATACCCGAGCCTCACAGCAACTCTGATTTCAAGGTCGTGGATGCCGTCGATGAATGTCTGCATCAGGTTTCCTTTAATACGCGCAGGTAGAGACCGGTATGCTCTTCAAACCAGCTTCTCCACCTCAAGGGCCCACTGCGGCAGGTTTTCGTTGCTACGTTGTACGCGATCTTTAAGCTACGCACGAAAGACGTGTTACAGGTGAGCGTCGCCATATCTCGCCTCTAATGCTTCAAGGAGCTTCCAAAACAGTTAAGGCCTGGTCGCGCAGGCCTAGTGTGAGAGCAGTTATGGCCTGACTTTTATTCCAGCCATATGCCTTCATAACAGCGTCGAACTGGAACTTGTAGGCCAACCAGGAAGAAATCTCGTCAAACGGCGGCACTTTGAATCAACGTAGCGAAGTTGTAGTAGCTACTACGGGAGCTGTAATTCCATCCCCAAGTAAGAGGTCGTCCAGCAATTTCTTCATGTCAGCCATCACGTTGTCAATCGACCAAGTGCGATTCAGGTTTCAGCTTCCGACAGGTGGTTGTCATGTTGAACAATCCTGACCTTCCTTATCTCTTTACCGAATGTAGCGTGAAGGTCCTTCATAAAGAGCATCTGCTCTTCCTTATCGCGTTTGATCTGCTCTTCCAAACGACGGGCCTATTCCTCCTGTCCGCGCTGCAGCTGCTCTTCCAACCGACGGGCCTGTTTCTCCTGTCGGCGGGCCTGTTCCTCCTGCTGTTCTTTTAACCAACTATCCTGTTCCGCCTGTCGGCGAGCCTGCTCCAGCAGCATCATCATCAGAGCACCTAAGTCAGGTGCTGCAGGTGTAGGAGCCCCAGAGGCCGGCCCGTCAGCAGCTCCGACGTCTGCGGCGCTGCACCACCAAATTATCTCTGGTCCGTCCCCTGCTGGCGTTCACTTCGAGTACGGATACCCTCAGTGTCATCCTTAGGTTAAATGGCTTCAAAATGGCTTTTAATGCAATATATAATATTATATAAATAATATATAATATTTTAATGCAAAAATGACAATTAATGGCCTTAAAATGACTTCTGACACCAATTGTTACGAGCTTGGGGTGCGTGACAATAAAAACTGCCGATTGAATTACTAATATTGACACTTTAATTACCGAACACCAATTACAATTTCAAACTCACTAATAATAAAACGCAATTGCACTTTAGTTCTTAGTTATATCGCTTTGAAGTATTCGCTTGTCTTGTCAATTCAATTCAATACTGAGTACTGACTCGGTCGCAGTTCTTATTGTGTTATTTATTATTAGCAATTAGTTTAATATCAATATATTATTATTATAACTAGAAGATATCTTTTATCACTTATCAAATATAGGTTAATCAATTAAAGGTTTGTATAGTCAAAAACCATTACTCCTTTTTGGTCCTTCGAGCCGGATTTGAACCAGCATCTTATAGAACCCGGACAAGTCCTCACAAAAAGATGTATGGGGTTTTGATGTTTTATGGGAATGAGATAATTCTAACTTTAATCTAGGAATCCAGACGAATAAAACTCGGCTGAACTGTGTTCGGAAAGTTACGCAACCGAAACGTTGTTCTCCACAGCTGGGCGTATGAGCAAGTTCAAATTAACTTAGTATTTCTTGGAGAAATTCCTCAAAACGAGGATATTCACAGAAGAACAAGATTAAATAACATAATTCAACCGATTAGAAAGCTGAATTGGCAATGGAGTGGTAATATGGCTTGAAAAACTGACAACGGATAGAAAGGAAAATTTCTCAAGTGGTGGTGATGAAACACGCAGGTAGGCGATGGATGCAGATGGCTCAAGACTGTATTTTATAGCAATTTTTGGGGAAGCCTATGTTCAGAAGAGGACTTGTGATTGAGTAAGTGAGAATATAGCAAGTTAATAACTTAGAATAATAAAGAATACATCACACCACAGTATAAAATAATGGTGGAAATATATTATTGGTATCAAAAATTTTTGGTATATAATACCTTGGTATCAAACTCAGTTTCAATAGCCTCTTCATCGACTTCTCTATGTAAATATTTCAAAATATCATCATCAATGAAGGAATCCGTAATGGAGGTGGCAACTGGCTTCATTATCGGCGGTAGTGGTGCTTCTTCCGCTACAGCTATAGATCCACGAGAACTGGCATTGTGAGAGTCCGTGCCTATGCCCGCGATCTTAAAATTAAAAATATGAAATAGGTATTTATGTAGTTAAAGAAGTAGCGTAGATATTAAAACCAAAAAGATAAAGATGATAATAACTTAATAAAAAGCTTGCATAAATCATCATTCATTACGATCTATGCTATTATTTTAGACAAAGAAATCGGTACCTAAAGATTCTGTTGCTCATCTTCTGTTTCAATGTTCCTCTGTCGCCCTTTATGACATCTAATGTATGATATGGGCTAGTGACTTCTTTTGCACTACTACTACATGGCAAACTGTTATTTAAAGGAAGTCTTTTAAGGCCGAATACGACGCGATTGACCTTGCTCGTTTCGCAGCAAACCACGCGCCGTCTATCGAACATCACGTGTGTTACCCATACGCTTTGTTTATATAGACATGTATAATATAATCAAATATATTATATTTGACTGAGCTAGCTCAGTATGCAGAGTAATGCACAACACAGAGAGCATTGCTTACTTCTTAATTAAATCTTTCTTATTTATAATATTAGTTCCTATAGATTATAAATTCTGTACTTTATTCGTTATAAAATATTGTTCGAAAAGTTATTGAATTGATATCGATTTTTTTTTCTTAATTGGTGCATCGTACGTAAAGAACCCCATATAACTGAAAATGTTTGTTCTTGTGAGTCTTACAAGATGCCGTAACGCAAATTTCATAAATAATAAAGAAAAAAAACTAAAAAGTCGGTGATTGCCCCATAGTGGGGATAGGTACTGTGTATGTAAATTCTCACAAGACTACTCCGACTGGTCAGTCACTTCACATCCGAAGTATTTCGGTTTTTCTTAATTATGTACTTACCCCATGCTTTCAGACAATACATTGACTATGACATTATTTGCGGTTTCTGTGCTTGCACTACTCTGTACATTCTTTTCCGACTCGGTCTTGATATTTACATTTTCAGTGTTTCCTACTTGAAACTAGAAAAGTATAAATGATCAGTTTGGCTAATGTAAATGAGTAAAAATGCAGCCTATTAAGGCAGCCTCAAACAAAAAATTACCTTACAAAAAATTTAAGTAACCTCAAAATACAACATTCGAGCAGCGTTCATGCGATAAACTCTCTTTGTTTTACCACTTAGGTAACATTTATTTCTTTTCCTACCAATATTTACATTTATAGTCACTTGAACGCGAATAAAACACTAAATTAACGATTTTCGCTACAGACACAACGACTGTTGTCACCTTACGTCACACGTCGAAAGGCCTGGTAATTTTTTACGGCAAACTTTTATCTGGCAATATACTATATTATTATTAGGTGTTTTAATTAAAACGAATTATGTTAATAAATAATATTTTGTATCGAAAATAAAGACCAGGCACCTTCGGAATCACAATACAAACATTTTTTACGTAAAAATGTTTGTTAATTTTTCCTAAATTAAAATTCACAGAGTTTTAGAAGAACAATCATTTTTAAATATCATTTCTTAACATTTTTTATTTGTTCGTATATTCATTTATTTTAAAATTTTAATAATGCGGGCACCTTGTGAAGGAACCAAACAAACCTACAAAAATGTTTTAACGCTTAGAATTACTTCAGGTCAAAGTTGTAGTGAAGAGAAATACATTAAATTTCGCCAGTTCTCTTCGTATTCGGCCTTAATAAGCAATAAAACATAAATAACTTAGGGAGTAAAATGAAAATTTACTTGAGTTTCAGGATCCTGTTGTGCCTGTGCGGCGAGACCAGCCGAAGTTAATCGATCGCTGCCACCACCACGGACTTTACGACGCCGTTTACCTCTTCGTCGAATTTCTCCGCCTTCTATAACAAAAACAAATTACATTTTTTTTTGCTACGCTGCTGTTAAGCTACTGATAATAAAGTGCAATTTAAGTATATATATCACGTGGTAGAGCCATGCTGCAGTTATATTAGTAGTATAGTTGTAGTACGAATGGGTCGGCTCGACCGGGGAAGGACTCTCTCACAAAATACCAGCGTTAAATAGTAGTTTAATGCTGTTATGTATCGTATGGTGAGTGTAGAGAACCGGAGACCCTTTTTACTGGAAACGAGGCATTCCACCTAAGTCCTCACGGATGACAACGCATCTGCATTTTGATTCGTAATCGAGGATAGATGTAGATGTCAATGGGCACAGGCACAATGTCACGCAACAACTTACCATCACGCGGATTGTGTGCTCGTTTGTCATCCTATCCTATTAAAAAAAATATAATTAATTGGTGATTTGGGTTTTAGCGAAATACTGAAAATGATGAAATTACTTAAGTACAAGATAAAATCTGAAAATGGAATTTTCCATCAAAGTCCAAAGTCGAGACCAAAGACCGCTATTTATACTATGGTAAAACTGATTTTATTGATGGACTGGAGGTTTATGAGTGTAAAGCTTTGACCACAGACGATACAGCTTGGACTGTAAGTGTCGTTATCACGTTATCAGTACTTTTACCAACAACACAAGTACCTACATTTAATTAATTAATAATTGTTAGAAAAACAACATCATAAAAATATATAATGTATCATCATCATCATCATCATTACAGCCCTTCACAAGTCCACTGCTGAACATAGGCCTCCCCCAAGTAATGCCACAAAGCACGGTCCTGAGCCACCTGCATCCATCGACTTCCTGCATGTCTTACCAGGTCGTCACTCCATCTAGTGGGGGGTCGCCCTACACTACGCCTACCGGTACGAGGCTGCCACTCGAGAACCTTTCTTCCCCATCGGTTATCGGTTCTTCGAGCTATATGGCCGGCCCATTGCCACTTCAGCTTACTAATCCGTTGGGCTATGTCGGTCACTCTGGTTTTACTGCGGATATCCTCATTTCTGAGTCTATCACGCAATGAAACTCCGAGCATAGCCCTCTCCAGAGCTCGCTGAGCGACCTTGAGCTTCCTCATACGGCCAGCGGTGAAGGACCACGTCTCAGATCCGTAAGTCATCACTGGCAACACGCACTGGTTATACACTTTAGTTTTCAGAGATTGAGGTATACCTGACGAGAAGATGTGTCGTAATTTCCCTGGTCGGTCTGTAGTTCTTCAAGAGAGCGTTGTCGCCTTTCTTAAAGAACAAGACCACCGCGCTTCTGCTCCACGCCTCCGGAGTAGTGCCACCATGGAGGACGGATTTGAAGAGCTTCTGAAGGACTTCAAGTACCGGTGTTCCACCCGCTTTCAGAAGCTCCGCTGTAATTCCATCCTCGCCCGGGGCCTTGCCGTTTTTAAGGTGGTGGAGAGCCATTCTAATCTCGCTCAGACTGACGTCCGGGATATCATCGGAATAGTGTCGGATAAGACTTGCTCTTGGATCGTTACTCACACTTGCGTGTGGCTCCAACGATGATGTGTACAGCTGCCCATAGAACCTCTCAATCTCACTCAGAATCTCAGGTGTCCCGGAAACGATGTTGCCACACTCAGTCTTCAGCCTTGACAGTTGGCTCTTTCTGGCAGACAGATCTCGGGCAAAGACTTTGGAGCCCTGGTTCCGCTCGATTGCTTCATTAATACGAGCAGTATTAAAGTTGCGTAAGTCTCGCCGCATGCATTTGGAGATCTGTCTGTTCAGTTGCCTGTATGCTGTCAAATCTGTTGACGATTGCAGCCTCATCTCCCGTCTAACAGCCGTGAGATTAAGAGTTTGATCGGAGGGTTTTTGTGTTCTTCTGCGGCGGGTCTTGCAGAACTTAGCTCCAACCGCATGGACAGTTTCCACGAGCTTGTCATTCATATCGTCCACTGCATTGCAATCCTCTAGGCACTGAAAGCGGTTTTGTAACTCGAGCTGAAAGGTTTCGGGATTCTGGATTAGAGCACGAGGGGGACGGAGCGTTGACTTCATTAGACGAGACCTCTCCAACTTAACATTTAGGTTCAGTGTGCCTCTAACCATTCGGTGATCGCTGCCAGTTTTCACCCTTGCGATCACTGAGACATCACTGAACAGTTGGCGTCTGGTCGTCATAATGAAGTCAATCTCATTTTTTGTCGAACCGTCGGGGCTCGACCAGGTCCACTTCCTGTGGGGCCGCTTCTGGAAGAAAGAGTTCATCATAAAGAGTCCCTCTTTCTCCATAAAGTCGGCCAGCAGCTGGCCCCTTCGGTTCCGTTGCCCTACTCCAAATTTCCCCACCCTCAGCTCACCGCTTTCTCTTGTGCCTAGTTTTGCGTTGAAGTCTCCCATCAACACCATGTAGTGGGTTTTGGAGGAATGTATGGCTCTGGAAATATCCTCATACATTTCCTCCACCTCCTCATCGGGATGTGCCGAGGTTGGTGCGTAAACCTGTATGACCTTCAGCGAATACCGTTTGGTGATTCTGAGTATCAGGTACGCGACCCTCGTCGACACGCTCCCAATCTTTACAACGTTGTTGACGAGAGACTTGTGGACGATAAATCCGACACCTCCTTGGGACAGATGGTCGCCCTCCCGGTGGTAGAACAAGTTGCCGGACTCGAGGATTGCCGTATCCTCCCCCTATCTTCGGACCTCGGATAATCCAATAATATGCCAGCGCAACTTGTCTACCTCTTCTTCCAGCTCCAGTATCTTCTCGTCAGTCCTCAGAGTGCGTGCGTTATATGTTGCCAGGTCGAGTCGTCGTAGGTGGCAACCGAACCTCCACCGGAGATTCTTAGCACCCCCTGCCCCGCCGTTACCATGGTCGCCACCGTAGCCAGGAATAGCGGGGCCGCCGGGGACTGGGGGCCGTTTTTTTTGCATCGTTATTCATGAGGGGATATTTGCCATAGTTGCCACGCTTGGCGAGCGGGTTGGCAACCGCAGTTTTTTATTATAACACAGTTGTTATCAGGAAGATGCTGCTGCCCATCTCCTGCCTGTCTCCTTCTGTCGCCTTTTACGACACCCACGGGAAGATATGGGGTAGTGGATATTCTCAACCGCCACTACACGCCATATAATGTATATAAACTATAAATAAATAATGAATAGGCAATTGCAGTTATCCACAAATTACCTAAACTAAATTTTTTATGTTGCCATTTGTTTTTATAAGCAGATGAGAGTGATACAGTTTAACAATAACAATTATTACTTTCACTAACTATTGTGGTTGGGTTACGATCTTAAATTATAAATTTGTGATTTGATTATAAAAATGTGAAATGAAATAACAATAAAAGTAAAAAAGGGATAGATATTATATAGATATTATATAATATAGAATTGACGACTAGTGTATGTGACGTAGAACTAGATTCACTTACAATGCAATGTATTCCCGTATTAGACCGAGCAACTCGACAAACATTTGTTTAACCAGAAAACGTTTACAAAATAAAAAATAACTCTCTGCTAACAATATTAATCTAATAGCTCTTGGACAATCTTTTTATACAATTAAAATGTGTAAAAAAGTGAAAATCGAATTTACAGTCCATTTGATCGTAATTGGTAACTGCAGTCAGTGGACTTCTCACAAAGAAGGTCAGTCAACATCAAATAAAAAGGGCTACAGATGAGTTGTCACGTCTGACATAGTCAAAACAGAATAGTAGGCAATCTTCTAAGAAACGTACCGAACGCCGCAAATATGTATGCGTGTCTGGCACGTGACAGTACGGACTTGCACTCATGAGCCACAGCACGCACACAACGACATTTACTAAGTCGGAAAAGTCTGGCCGAGTCGGGACGGCCACCAGCGCGCTCCGCAATCAACTTTGAGACTTTGTTGACTTTTAATAAAATTTTCTTTTTATTTTTTATTTTTGTAAAATAAATTAATAATATATGGGTTAGTTTAAGTAAATTAGCTTTTTATTAATAGCTTATATTACTATAACTATACATAAATACATACCTCATAAATACATTAATCACAACAAATTCATTTTAAACATTAAATCTGAGCTGACACCATATGCTCAGTGTTAATTTACTCACATTTTAGTTATTTGACATTTATTGTAATGTAAAATCGGAATTTCTTTATTGACAAACATTGATACTTTGGGAGGAAGCTAAAGAAATGATTAACAAATATGATGCATAGGTACGTATCCGTATGTATTATGTTTGTAAATATTATAACTACTTAAAAAACTAAATGAGAAGGGGAAATATAACCTCAAATGGCTTAGCAAGATCCTCCGTTATGCCGAAAATATTGCAGCATTAATTTTGAAATAAATATAATATGTAAAGTTGAGGATTAATGTTAAGGACTATGGTAGATGAAAACACGTTCCGTAATAATAAAAAAAAACAGGCATAAATATGATAAACCTAATGAAATAAGTGTCTAACGACCTATCTACTTACAGTATTAGTGATTACAAACATATCGGTACATAGCATACGACGCGCGGGGAAGTGGGGGCGAAATTAGAATTTGAGCTGACTTACTATATCCCCTTAAACAAAAAGATAGTGATAACCCTGCAACAGTAGGCATTTAGGTCTCGCGCGGCACGAGAGTTATCATACTATTATGTTTTTAGTATGCCTCAGAGGACTCAGATGAAATACCTCACAGCCTGTTATTATACTGGCTCGATATATCCTTCAGACTGAAACCAAGCAGCGTAGGCACTGGTATTTAGTGACAGAAATAAATAAGAGTACTGTATCTACTTCTACACAGATGTACAAAATTTCTATTTTCTTTTAAAATATTCTTTATTCCTAAAATAAAGTAATTTTTAAAATCCATTCTGCTATGATGCCATCGTTCCAGGATACGAGACGTATTATAAGACAGAATTAATTATATTCCAGGACAGTAGAATATTTACCAATATCCTCTGCATTTCCTTGATCGGCTAAATTTGTATCATTGCTGTCCTTATCGTCCTTCGAACGCTGAGATGCCGGCGCTTCGCTTTTGTTTTTATTTTTGACTGTCTTGCTTAAATTTAAAGCTTTTAGTTGGTTCTGAAACAAAAACACTATTATTGACGGATCCGTGGTGAAGTGGCTTAGTAGATTAGTTTCCAGCATAATTGCAAGTTTGTCTCAGTAAAAACATAAAGCGTAATGCTTTTGATATATTTGGTTAAACGCTAGGTCTTGTAATTAACATTTTATTGATATACTCGTAGTTACATTAACCTCAAAATTTTGTGCATAGGGGTGATTGCAACTATTTTTGCAGTTGCAATCGCCGCATAGAATTTGTATGAAAAATGCAAATCGCTAGTGATGTTCCGTGTTTATATTTCGATAAGTGAATTTACTAACAATTTTGGATAAATGTTAATCCTCGACGTTTTTTTATGTCGCCATTTTTTTATGAGTTATTAATTAATTATATTTATGTTTGCTTATTTAAAGGACAAATGTATAGTATTACAACAATATCAAAATATTGTAACTTATACCAGATGGTTCGGCACTACAAAAGAAAAAAGGAGAAAGCGTATACCCGAGAAACGCTTCTTGAAGCAGTACAACTAGTAAATCTAAAAGATTTCTCGGACTAAAACAGATAAACCCTGGTAAAGATACTGTATTTTCACGATTGTTTGAGCAAGAAATATCTGCCTATTTGACTACAACGGAAAAAAGGCGGATTTCCTTTGACAACGAAAGAAGTCAAGGCATCGGTGTCAAAATACGTCAGAAGGAACGGTATAATTACGCCACTTGAAGAAGATGTCCCTGGTGATGAATGGCTATGTGGGTTTCGAAGAGAAACGGTTTGTCGATAAAAAACAACAACTAGTAGAAATTAACCGTAAATGGGCATGCAATCAGTACACAGGGTATGATTTTTTAAAATAAACATAAGTACAAGATAAAAACAGGAATCACCTTTTCTTTTTATCTAAATATCAGATTACTTCATTACTGTCATTGCTAATCTGTTTCTCGAAGATTTATCGATATGTAATATGTACCTATCGCAGCACTAGTTAGTATGAAGCATAGTCTCATTGGTCCCAAAAAAATTATAATTTTTTTTAAAACTGAGCCCTGTTGCCAGCAGTTAGATACTAATAGTTTTATGGCGAAACTAAATATATTCTTATCCCTAACATCTAGTTATACATTACAATAAGATATAATCACTAATAGTTGCATTAACCCCAATGTGGGGTGAATGTAATTTTTATCTCTCTTATTGATTAAGAATGTAAATATTATAAAACTAAGCCTATTTGTAACGTATTTCATGTAGAAAATGTTCATTGAAAGGTGTGGAATTCAGTAAGTTTATTCAAGTAACCTCCTTCTTAAGTAGCTCATGGTGGAGGACAGCAAAGTTATGATTATTTTTTTTTAGTTGCTTTCGTCCCGGATAATCTTAACAGAATATTTCTTGTCCCTTATTTTGTGTATCGTTGTGGCGGTCATATTTTGCAACGCGTGTAGGCAGAGTAGAGTAAAAACGACAGATGGTGGTTGTGTTAACGAGGGCTGATTGAGCAACTCAGTTGGATACAATAAATGATCTTGATTTTATTAGCAATAAGCTTCTTAACTTTTCTACAGACTGCCTCGTTGGTCTAGTGGTTGTAGCAGTGCGACTGCTGATCATGAAGTCTCCAGGGTTCGAATCCCGGGTCGGGCCAAAAAATCAATTATTGAGTTTTTCTGTCAAGAAATTCTGAGTAGCTGCCCGGAGTCAGGAAGTTGGCGGTGTCTCACCCCCGTGCCTCGGAAAGCACGTAAAGCCGTTGGCCCTGCGCCTGATCTCTTTCCCGGTCGTGTCGGTTTACCGTCCCATCAGATAATGAGAGTGAGAGAACAGAGAGTGCACCTGTGCTTGCGCATACACTTGGGCACTATAATCCTGTCCTGCGCCGATGACTAGCCTCCGTTGAGGCAAGCCGCCGTGGCTGAAATTCGGTCTGGAGGACATTATAACTGTTAAAGAAATTTCAAAACAGTTCAAACGAGAAAAATATATGAAACATTAGAACATAAAAATAATATTTTTAACGACCATGTCTAAAACAAAATGAAAAAAATTGGAATTGGGATATTAATTTCAAATATTTTAGGGTTGATGACGTTGAGGTTAAGACAAGATGTTGTAAATTCAAGGAAAATATACAAAGAGAACATTTTAAGCTGGGTGCATTACATATAGGTGCAAACTGATGACTTGTTCAAGGTTTCTGTTACCTCAAGGTTATAAAAGAACTCTTCTTTCTCAAAAGTAACACCTTTTTGCTTATTAATCACTTTTCTTTTTATCTGCATGTTCGGGAGTTTCATTTTCTTGTTTGGATTTGATGCAGGCATAGTCACGGTTGAAGCTACTCTTTTTCTTTTATTTGATCCGTAATCTATTACTATTCTTGACAAATGAATCGAATTACAATCGCAAGGTGATTGTCGTACTCCCGACGACAGTTTTGATAACATTTCATGCTTAGCACCTTTGTGTTTTGTTGCAGCACAATTTTCTTTAGCCAAAGTTTTAAATTCTTTTGTCTTCTTCTGTTTGGATTTCTCCCTTTTAATTTGCAAAAGTTTCGTTTTCGAAATTAGAAACGGTAACATCCTTACTTATTTTTTTTAGTAATAACGATAAATAAATCCTTTATTTCTATTATTATTATTATATACTTTCTCAGTATATAATGGGGATTCATTTAAGTCAGGAGATTTAAGGCACACGTTGTTCCAGTTAAAACTGATAGAGCTAAATGTGAAAATTATTTATCGTTTTACGTCAGTTAAGCTATTGATTTTTTTATCACTTACAAAATAATTAGATATGTTACACACTTCAGCGGTTGTTATTGATACCAGCATATTAAATAACTAGCTTTTACTCGCAGCTTCGTCAGTGTGTAACTTAAACAAAAAAAGAACTTGCAGATCTATGCCTTTGGGCAAATAGTTCAATTAAAGTTGAATTTTCATATGTTCATGAAACCCAGACAGACAATAATTATATTAATAGTTATTGATGTCTTCATTGTAACACACAATGAATTTTGATATTACGGGGCCTAATATAATACATTTTATTTATTTTATATATATAGATGTATAAAATGTATCTATAGGTAGCTGGGGACAATAATTATTTTACCTAAAATAATGACCTGATTTATACAAATGAAAGTTTTTTTTTGAGATGCAACCACTCACAGCGGTTCTTAGATTTTGTAGATATAACTGCCCATTTTCAGGTTAATAGACCATCTGATATAGTACTAACCAAATCAAACAAACATCATTTACTGTTGTGTTCCGCTTATAGGCTATAATGTATTTCATCTTAGTCTCACTTAGTCTGTAGAGGTGACATAGACAACGCATTTGCGGTTTGTTTTCTTTATTTGAAATGGGCGCTAAGAGTCCATAAAATGCAGTAGTCACCATCAGGTGGACATTTAGCTCGTTTGTCAACCAAATATAAAAAATACGCTTCGGTGAGTATATACAAATGACATCTGATATAATTAACTGCGCTGAGCTGCGCTGAAATTTCTAATCTTGTGCGTTAATGAGTTAAAATTACAATTAACTATTTTCCTGTTTTTTTTATAGTATTAGGTGACAAATGAGCACACAGTCCCCTGATGGTAAGTGGAGGCTGTGGCCCATAGACATTTATTCTCAATTAAGAATCAAAATGCAAATGCGTTGTCACCCCTGAGGACTAAGATGGAATGCCTCGATTCCAGTAAAAATTGTCTCAGGTTCTCTACACTCACCATACGAAACTATTTTCGCTGGTATTCTGGGAGAGCGTAGTCCTGTCCCGGTCAAGTCGACCCATTCGTGCTACAACTATAATATAGCTGCAGCATGGTTTTACCAGGTGTTGGCGTTAATAGATCTTGATTTGCTAGTTTATTATAAAATTTAAAGACGAGAGCTTTTACCCTGATTTCTTAATAATTAATTAGCTGACTTAAGATAAGAACTTAATACCAACATACCTTTCTAGCTGTTCTCACACTTTGCGGTTCTCTGGCAGGTGAGTTTCTTATAGCCAATACCAATGGCGACGCTAGCGGGGGCAGCTGCTCGCATTGTCCCGTCCTGAGCCGTTGATGTCCGCTTTCAGACAGGTTCAAGGATGGTAGAGTCGAACGCTCGTTGGTGGCACTGTGGCCAGTCGTCATTTCTGATGTGCCGTGGCCGTGGTAGTAGTACAATGTTTCCTTTAAAATGAAATATTTATTTATTTATGCTTTCATGCACAAAAAAGTACATATGGCGGACTTAATGCCATAGGGCATTCTCTCCCCCCCCCCCGAACGGGTTCCCGCCTTGTCGCGGCGGGGGGCTTAGTAGCCGTAGCTTGGTCTCCCACGGTGAACAAAGAGGAACCCACGTGGCTGGCCCGAGGTGAACGGCCGGCCTGAGGTGGCCGCTCCGAGTGGGCTTGGGGAGCCCACTTCGGATGTGTGCTGGTGGACTGCAGCGAGTGGGGACTCGCGCACCCTCTACCGCTGCAGCCGAGGTGGAGTCGCGTAGGAAGAGGAGTGTTGGTATGGCGATGCGCCACTCGCCCTATCCTTCGCGACTCAAACGCGGCCGCACCGTTGATGCGGTGGTGGTGGGGCTGCGGGAGGAGAGGATTGTCGGTATTGCGAGGCGCCGCTCTCCCTACCCTCCGCAGCCGAATCTTGGTTGGCGGCGGAGCCATAGACCAGATCCGCCGCTGGGGTCGGGAAGGCTAGTACTTCTAAGTGCTCGTTTTTCCTGGCCCCATGGCCTTTGTGCATCGGACGCGGGGGCGTCTGTTGCACAGACGTAGTTGGAGGCCGTGGAGGAAGGCGCACCATGTGTTCTGGTGCGCCTTACCTGGGAAGGAGAACGGGGAGGAATTTTCCTCTCCCGAGGAGGTGCTGCCATGGGGCGGCAGGCGCTAGTAGGGCCGCGGATCGCGGATGAGTGCGAAAGCGTTCCCGTAGCCCTGCCAATATGCGACAAAGGTGGAACACCATGGGGTTTTAGTCGGTGCGAGTCCGACATAACCCGTCCTTGCCCCCGCGAGGTGGGTATGCGTAGGCATTTCCCCATGCAAAAAAAAAAAGGCATTCTCTCCCAGTCAACCATTAGGCTAAACACACACACACAGCGGTGCAGCATTAATCAAATATAGAGGATAAAAAAATATAATATATACATAATAAACTATATATATATATATATATATATATATATATATATATATATATATATATATATATATATATATGTATATATATAAATGTTTGTTAAAATTTTCTTTGAAGCATGATTGGTTTTGTGAATGTAAATGAAATTTTGTAATATATTTAATTTTATGTAATTCTTTTTTGGGAAATAAAGGCTTAAATAAATAAATAAATAAATATATTGTTCACGACGGCCTAACAACGCTAAGAAATAAAGTGATGAAAGAATATTGTTATTGTATTAATAGTGAAATTACCGAGAAAACTGGGTGAAAACGTGTATTGATATAGTTGTGTAGCATGTTTATAACTCTTAGTATATTTGTATATAATGTCGTTTTGATAACAATTGATATAAACAACTTTTATTGTATTAAGAAAAATCGACCAATCGCAGCGCGTTGTATCGTAGAACTCTCTAGAAGTTTTTAAATTAACTGCGTAATAGCACAGATTAATAATAGTTTACGAGGGCGGCACTGAAAATTTTGGGAATCAAGGAACTGACACAACATTACTATTTAAAAATGTATTTATTGCTTTTCGAAGTATTTTCCGCGAAATTTGACACATTTTTCCATACGATGGAACCAATCATTGAAGTAACCATTCCATTCGGAAGTTAGGGTCTCCAAAATGGCCGTTTTGTAGGCGTCCACAGCTTCTTCAGGTGATTAAAATCTCTGTCCACGCAATTTATTCTTTATTTTAGGGAAAGTATAGAAATCATTAGGGCTTAGGTCGGGGCTGTACGGCGGATGGTCTAATAATTCTATGTTTTCTTGCTCTAAAAACTCTTTTGTTCTGTGTGCGGTGTGAGAACTCGCATTGTCGTGATGGAGGATGATGCGGCGGTTGCAGTTCTCTTTACGGAGTTCAGAAATGACCTGTGGCAAAAAAAATGCTAGCATACTATTCTGCATCAACCGTTCTTTGTCCCTCAAGAGGAATAGTCGTAACATGGCCGGTTTTGGAGACAAACGTGGCTACCATTTTTTTTGCAACACTCCGTGAATGAACAATTTTTGTTGGCTTTAACTCATTTTCGAACACCCAAACTCGTGACTGGTTTTTTGTTTCGGGTTCGTACCGAGTATATCCAGGATTCGTCACCTGATACGATGTTGTATACAGCATTTGAAGATCCTGCGTGGAATCTTTCGAGAGTTCTGACGCACCAAGTAACGCGAGCCGCTTTTTTGCTCTTCACAGAGCGAATGCGGTATCCATCGGGAAAACAACTTTTTTACACCTAATTGTTCATGCAAGATTATTTTTATTTGACTCATGCATATGTCTAAAGTTGCCTGAATTTCGCGGTATGTCACATGTCGATCTTCCTCAATCAGCTTACGCACAGCATCAACGTTTTCTTGGGTGACTGCAGTTTTTGGACGACCTTGACGGGGGTATGCTAAGGTGTTAATTGAAAGAGTTATGAAAGAAACTGATGGAAAAATTTGGGATGTGCAAGCGGGTTTTAGAAAGGGAATGGGGTGCACAGATCAAGTCTTTTCCATGCGCATGATTGCGGAGAAGTTTTTGGCCAAAAACCAGAAAGTTTTTTGTGCGTTCATGGACTTGGAAAAGGCTTATGACAGAGTGGACAGGAATGTGTTATGGCAAACACTGAACTCATATGGGTTGAGCGCTGGTTTGATACAGGCATTAGGGTCTCTTTATAGGGACTCTAGTGCTTGTGTCAGGATCAATGGGGTCTACTCGGACTGGTTTGGCATCCAAAAAGGTGTCAGACAGGGCTGTGTAGCTTCCCCTTGGCTGTTCAACCTATTTATGGACCGGTGTTTGCAAACTTTGAAAGATGAAGAATGTGGTTTAAGAATGGGCGAGTTAACCGTCAAATGCCTTTTGTATGCCGATGATCAAGTCATATTTGCGTCATCAGCGGCTGAGTTGCAATGATGGTTACATTAATGAACTGGGAATTAAAAGAAAGGGGAATGAAAGTGAACGCAAGTAAGACGAAAGTGATGGTTTTTGAAAGAGAAGAAAGCAAAACGGTATGTGAAATAAGAATAGAAAGAGAGTTAATTGAGCAAGTGGATGAGTTTGTGTATTTGGGATGTGTATTTAGCAGGGATGGTAGATATGATAGGGATATAGAACGACGAGTAAATGCAGGGAATAGAGTGAATGGGGCACTACACTCTATTATGAAGAACCAGAATGTGTCAAAACAGGCACGTATGGTAATTCATAATGCTGTGTTAGTCCCTACGTTAATGTATGGTAGTGAAAGCTGGGTGTGGCAGAAGAAGCACGAAAGTAGAATAAATGCTGTAGAAATGCGTTCTTTAAGAAATATGCTAGGGTTTAATCTGAATGACAGGGTGAGAAATTGCGTGATAAGAGATAAATGTGGTATGCAAGATGATGTTGTGACCAGGATTAAGAAAGGAATGCTTCGGTGGTTTGGTCAAGTAGAAAGAATGAATGATGAGTGACAAAGCAAATTTATATGGCAGATGTGAACGGCCGAGTCGGGAAGGGACGCCCTAGAAAAAAGTTTGTCGACCAAATTGGCGATATTTTGAAAATGGGCCACGTTAGAAGTACCCTTAACCGACGAGCATGTATGCGTAGATATATGGATGTAAAGGAGGCGAAAGAGGTATGTCAGGATCGTGCCAAATGGAAGTCCGTAATCTCTGCCTACCCCTCTGGGTGACAGGCGTGAGTGTTTATGTTATGTTATGTCTTGACGGGGATCATCACTGAGCTTGATACGTCCACGTTGAAATTCAGCAAACCAGCGATAAATTGTGGTTTTGGATGGGGCTTCATCACCAAATGCAGAAATCATCCGGTCAAAACACTGTTTTTGTGTTAAACCACTTCGAAAGTCATAATAAATCATCGCTCTTGAATTTTCTCAAGTCAATTCCATTTTCTCAACGACTAAACAAGTTTGACAAAACCTTGTGACAAAACCGAGAATCTTTTTTTAAATAAATAAATGGTATTCGATTTTTAATACCAAGGAGTTTTCAGTTAAAAAGATTTTAATATGACAGGAACAGTGGAAATATTCCATTCCCGATACTTTTAGTGCAGCCTATGTACCAACAGATACATCACTCCCATACAAAAGCGAAAATACCTACGTTATAATAGCCTACAAAATCTTAATAATAATATCTGCTGCTCGCAGCGAGAAAAAATGTACTATAAGTACGCGACAAAAGAGTCGAGATTGTGTTGCCCGCCGTGCGACTCACGTGCAAGCGTGTCATCGCACGAATGCGCTAGGGTTGTACCTATGATGATTATTGTAATAAAACAAATGTTGCGAAATACATAACCCTATTTTTTATTTGTCGATCAAAAATATTTGAGTTTTATAAAATGTTATAGTGCATTGGGGTAAGATCGGTGATGGGGTAAGACCGTAAAATTCAAATTTCCGGTGAATTATGCTATATTTTTGAAAGCTAGCAATATGGTACAAGACTCTATTTTATTCTGCACCGACCCAAGTTTCAGCCAGTCGCTCCGAAAAGTAGGGCATGTGCTGCGCAGTATTTTATAAAACAAGGTCATTTTTGAATTTTTTTCGTCTGTCCGGTCTTTCCCTATCACTTTTATTTGCAATTTTTAGCGACGTCCGGTTTTCCCCTTGATGGCCAATTCTTCATCATGCATATAAAAAATTATGCCTTGTCTTCGCACACGTTTTAAGCAAAAACTGTTGAGTTTTGAAAAGTAAAAAGCTTCTTATAGCTAAATTACGTGTAACCATTAACTATTTGCGCCATGTTTCAGAAATCTGACGTATATGGATATCGAGAAAATAAAGTTTTTGCCAGACTCTTTTAACTAGTCGAAAATCCGTCCGGTATTGCTCCAACGCACTTTATTTAATTTTGTCGTTGAAAATATCCTAAATCGCGTAAATAATTTAATAAATAAATATTTTTATAAAATAAATAATCATGAAAGATTTCTTAAATTTTCGCGAAAACTACACATTGAATAAA